AACTCCACCACCACCACAATCATTGCCACCCCCACCACTACCACCACCACAAGCACCGTCACCATCATCACCATTACCTTTAGTATTTTTATTATTATTATAGTTGATAAAAATAATTTTTAATCATTATTCTAATTTGTATTAAAATTCAAATATTTAAAAATTTAAATTTCATTCGATTCCTTATTAGTATTTTCTTAATTTTCATTCCGATTCCTATGTTTTCATTTTAAATCTTTCATTGCCGATAACCAAACCACACTTCGAAGGATTATGAGCTATTAATGTGAAATTATGATTTGGTGGAGGATTATGAGCTACTAATATGAGATCATGATTCAGTGAAGGATTATAGCTAATAAATATGTGGGATCATGATTGGGTGGAATATTCTTTCCTAATAAATACATATGTCCAATTGTTTTTATTTATGCTCAATCCTGTTTCCAAGACGTGTCAATACAGTAGCATATTTCATATTCGAAGAGTTCTTGCTTTTTTATTTTTTTATTCTTTGTTCCTTTTCTTTTTCTTTCCTAGCAACCCGTATAGTAGAGGTTTCAAACCAATCTGAATTGGGTGCTTTACTATGCATAAAGAAGGAGGAGAATAGGGTAGTCCATGCTTTGGACTTCCTTGTTAGCATGCTTCCCTTTGGACTTAATTTGGGTTGTCCACCATCCAACAAGTGAAGGGTGGCAGTGTTGGCTTGATTAGTGAACGATAAAGGATTAATGAGAAGCTTTTGTTTAGTATCCTAATCTCATGCTTTCATGCCTTCGGCCGAAAGTGATGATAGTAAAAGAAATCTTGGCTTTAATTTGGGAGCCCCTTTTCCTTGTGATAAACCAATTGAATCATAATCTCTTGCTTGACATGTCAAGACTTGAGTGATAAATGATTTAGCGAAGCCTAAGCTAATTTCATTTAGGGGCTATATGCATTTGTTGCTTTACTCAATATGCTAGATTCATGCCCGCCATCTGTTTGTTTTATTGCCACTATTTGCTCGGTAGAATTAATCTCAAATAGACTCAACTTAGCAATCCTCCTGATTTAGTGTCTAAAGTGAGAGCCGAGGACCCGAGGTGAATAATGTTCATTGTCTTGTTCCTCCTTGTGTGCCATGCTCTCGCTAGCGAAGTTTTGGCACGGAGTTTCTTTTACTTTTGTCCATGGTTTACGTGTCATTCATGGTGAGTATCTGGAAGTAAATACCAAGAAGTAAAAATTGCATTTTTTTTTTCAGTTTAGATCGCTCGCATTTATTGTTTGTTTCATAATAAAATACTTTTTTTTTCATATATGAAAAATACTTTTTTTTTCATATATGAAAAATGTACCAATAAGGAAAAATTGTATTGGCTTGCCACATTTTTCATATATGAAAATTCATCATACTGAAATTTTAATTGGATCTGATATTAGATTGATGAGATTTTATTTTTATAATCCAATAATAATTTAATGAAATTCTATAATTAATTTTGATTAAATTATCATGCTAAAATTGCATCTTTGCTTGCCATGATTTCACATCCTTTAGTCGTATTTTATTATTTATCTATCTTGCGCGTGTTGATTTCCGTAATTCTTCATGTATGAAAATTCAAATGGAAAATTTAAATAGATATAGCATCAAATTAATGGGACTTCTAATTTTAGAATTTGATGTTGATTTAATGAAAATTTACGATAAATTTTGAATAAATTAGCTTGTTAAAACACACGATTGCATTCTTCAATTTTAATTTCCATGCCCTCTTGCAATGTTCTTGTCAATTGTCTGTGCATTTTTATTTTTGCATATTTTTCACATATATATCTTATATGAGAAATTAATTGGATTCGACTTTAAATGGACGGATGTCCAACTTAAGGATCTGACGACTATTTGAAGTGATTCCACACACACACATATATATATATATATATATATATATATATTCTTTTGATATATTTGCCAATGCTTTTCAGGTTCCTCTAAAACCTCATCGGACTGGATTCCTTTAAAACCCCAAAAGGCCTAGTTTTTAAACCTGATCTAAAAATTAATGAAACAAACCTCTAAGCTTACTTTTTCTCCACCTTTGGGTTCCAAACGCTCAAAACGAAATGTGATGAATTAATTCCAAATTCACATTGACTTGACCTAAAAATAAACTAATAAATAGACTTAAAAAATAATTGGATAAATAATAACAGTCAAGAAATGAACTTTGGAACAAAAACAACCATAGTAACTTTTTTTGAAAAATGATGTTTTAGGGTTTTTTTTTATCTTTTTTTTTTTTAAGTAACGAACTCCTTAGTACTTCTATATCTACAACCTTTGTCTTTTTAGAATTCTTAATTTCCTTTGAGAACTAAGTGGCTACTCTGTTTTAAACTTTTTAAATTAGTCCGAATGTCTCACATGTTAGGTAGTGATAGTAAGAATAGGATCAAAAGAGATCAAATAAAAAATCAGGGCTATAAAAAATCCTAGTAAATCAAAAGATTAAATCAAACAAGTTGGTTAAGGTTTTAATGTAGAAAAACCTAATGAATTATGAAGGCTTTTTTTTTTTTAATAGAAAACCTAAAAAAGTAAGATTTACACTAAAAAAACGTTAAAAAAAAAAAAAGCTGTAAACTTATATATGAAAGTATATTACAAGAATAAAGCTATTGAAAAAGATAAATTACAAAGAATAAAGATAGTGAACTTGAAAGATAAATTGCAGAAATTTATGTGTATTGGAGCTGGTCAAAAAATTATAATTATAGTGCTTCTATAAATATAGAGAATATTAAACTTAATGACAAATAAACTTGAAGAAAAAATTTAAACTAAATAGAAATATTAATTTGACTAAAACAGTTTTCCTAAAAAATGAAAGAAAATTAAAATCAGAATCAATTCCATGCTCCTAAATATTGCTGTTCGATTTTCCTGCTTCCTTATATATGTTTGGTTTCCTTTTCCATGATATCACACACTGTCTCAAAATTGCACAATTGTTTTAACTTTGCTTTGTATTTAATTATTTTAATCTCTTGAATTGCCTGAATGTTCGAAATTTGTCCTCAAACTCGAAAAACTTATCAATTTACCTCAATTGTCAAAGACCAATTGAAAAACATTTATTTTTAATTTCAACAAGAGTACTTGTTGTGTCGGCTAGTCCATTCTCATATATTTCATGTGAGAATTAAACTTGACAACTAGAAAGAAAAAAGCAATTTTTTTTGTCTGTGAAGTGGAAGTTGAAGACAGGGTGTGACTTTCATTCCAAAGCAGTACTGTTGAGACATTAAGAGCCCGAAAAAATTAGCTCACACCCTACTGAATTTAGCCTCTGGCTTCTGTGGGCTCAATGGTTTGCTGAACTGTTTTCACTGCTAAGTCACTTAGGTGCTACAAATGGCATTAGAGACCCAGCAAAACATTATCAAACCATTATTATATTGTTGATTGGTAGTTAGATATTAGATAAAGGATCGAGTGCATTATGACCCACTTTTTTCTTTTTGTTTTTGTTTTTCTTTTTTTTTTTTCTCTGAGAAGGCTATGACTCACACTTTAGGTCAGTGAAAAGGTTGAATTCCTGGCATATAAAGTAGCACTCGTTTTGAAGTGGAGGCCTTTTGTTCAAACCCCCCACCCCCAGGGAAATTCTATTGGTTTCCAAAGAAGGGAAAAAAAAAAACAAAGAAGTGAAGTCCTAGAATACCCATCAAAGTGCAACGGAATTAGGTTCAACTTGCTTACTATTGATATTTATGGGATTTCGACATTTGAAGTTTCAGTAGGCAGTGCAACGGAATTAGGTTCAACTTCCCAGTTACTGAAGCATTTAACCACTGAAAAGTGTTTGAAAATTTTGCAACATTAACTCAATAAGATATCATAGTAATAACTTCTGGATTATTGTACTTATTTTGTACAAAGACGCATGGATTGGGCGGTGGAAGTAAGTCTTAATTTGGTGCTACTGACTTTAACTGCCACAAATTTATGCATGTCACATGGTATCATAGCTAAAGGATCCTTGTATTAATTTCCGTCCTTTCATGCCCTTGAATCTGATGAATAACGAAGGGAAACCCAAAAGTTGCCTCATGGGTTAATTATTCCAGCTTTACATCACACAGAATTTGCAGCTTTATTTGTATTTCTCCAGCTCAAACTTGTAAAAGTCAGCACCTCAAAATTCAAAATCATAGTCATTGTCTTACCAAAATAAGGAAACCAGGGTTTTGTTTATGGAAGACAAAGAAAATCTGAAATTTGTAGCTTCCCTTTGCTTTGGATTGATTAATGATGTTTTAAAGAGGACTATTGTAAGTTTAATTACCATGGCAATGCATCTCATGCTATGAATCATAATCTTATTGATAATATAATTGAAGATATTAAAGTCACAAGGATTGCTTAAACATTAAAAAAAAAAAAGAAAATGGAAAGCAATACCCTTTTAATTTAATGATTTTTGGACAAGCATCCCTCTAGTTGTTTTTGGTTGCTATTAGTATTATACTAAGTTTTTACCTATAAGACATTCCAAGATCCAATGACCCAATCAAATTTTTATCATGGATAATTCATTAATTTACTTTGTAATAATTCTGTGTGGTTTGTTGATCAGTGAAAAAGCCCTTATATATACAGTGAAATGTAAAAGTTTCTTTTTGTCCCCTGAAAACCAGCTTTGCTGCGTATCAAAGCCAACCACAATATATAGCACATACATTATTAAATATCAAGGCATAATAAACCAGTGGATTTGAATCCAGCTATATAAAACCCTATCAGTATTTTGTGGCAAGGTTTTAATTCATAGCAAGGACAACTTGTCCACAACTACCAATACTAATTTGCTTTTGGATTTGCTGATTGTTTACATCGAGGGTGGTAGAGCCAGAAGTTGTATATATAGATACATGTCCATCCTGTATCTTCCATCCACATCTACAGGTCTTTGTCTTGTCTCTTCTGGGTTTCATAGAACATTTCGATGGCAACTAACTCTTCAGCTTGCAGTTCTTATGAGGTGATCTTAGGTCTGGCATTGGTACTGGGAGCCGTTGTTCACCTAGCTGAGGCTAGGGCTTTCTTTGTCTTCGGTGATTCGCTAGTCGATAGTGGCAACAACAACTACCTGGCAACAACTGCACGAGCCGATGCACCCCCTTACGGAATCGATCATCCAACACATCAACCAACAGGCCGATTCTCTAATGGCCTCAACATTCCTGACCTTATCAGTTAAATTTCCAGTACAAACTGATATTTTATAGCATGATTTACATATCATTGTTATCTAGCTCATATATATGTCTATAAAAATGTCCAAAATCACAAATGCTCACACCCACACTAACTTTTTCTCATGATACCTTATTAATAATCATAAAATGCATTTGTCAGGTGAGCAAATAGGCTCAGAATCCCCATTGCCTTACCTGAGTCCAGAGCTAAGTGGACAAAAACTACTTGTTGGTGCCAACTTTGCTTCGGCTGGAATCGGAATCCTTAATGACACTGGAATTCAGTTTGTAAGTAACCTGCTTTCTAATTTCTCGATGACTTTTTCAGTATAAACACCTTTTTGCTTTCAGTGACAAGGAAACTATGTCCGAATAGCTGGTCTGATACGTGGCTTAAAATGCAACAATTTCAGATAAATATAATAAGGATGCATAGACAATTGGAGTATTTCCGACAATACCAGCAAAGAGTCGTTGCACTTATCGGAGCCGAGCAGGCCAAGCGACTCGTCAATCAAGCACTTGTCCTGCTCACCGTTGGAGGGAATGATTTTGTCAACAACTATTATCTGATTCCTTACTCAGCAAGATCTCGCCAATATGATTTACCAGATTATGTACAGTATCTCATTTCAGAGTACAAGAAACTATTGATGGTAATTCCTCTTGTTTCGTTTAAAAATTATTGTATAGTAAATTAATATAAGAAAAATATAAATAAATTGGTTGAGACTAATATCAATAAAGATTGTGAAATTCTTAACTAGACTAAACTCTAATTTAAAAACAACATGAATCATCCCTAATGCCTCCTCATTTTCATCATTTCAGAATCTGTATAATCTTGGAGTTCGCCGAGTTATTGTGACTGGTACTGGACCGCTGGGTTGTGTTCCGGCTGAGTTGGCTATGAGGAGCACAAATGGTGGTTGCTCCGCAGAACTACAGCGAGCGGCTGCTTTGTATAATCCACAACTTGAGAGCATGATAAATGACGTCAACAGAAAAATCGGCAGTGATGTGTTTATTGCTGCAAATACTCACCAAATGCACACTGATTTTGTCAGTAATCCTCAAGCATTTGGTACGCAATAGCTTCGAATTAGACTTTCACTTCATTACTAAGGATTGTTTTTGCTGATTGTGATTTATCATAAAAACTCATTGTTTTGGTTGGACAGGATTTACTACATCAAAGATAGCATGTTGTGGACAAGGACCATACAATGGCCTAGGGCTGTGCACAGCGTTGTCAAACTTGTGCCCTAACCGCGACCTCTATGCATTTTGGGATCCATTCCATCCATCAGAAAAGGCAAACAGGGTTATAGTACAACAGATCATGACCGGTTCCACCCAATACATGAAACCCATGAACCTCAGCACCATCATGGCCTTGGATTCCATGACCTGATAGATCATGTCAAGAATCCACCTTCTTAATCCCCATGACTTTCAATGCAATTACAATTGTGTTTCTTTCATTTTTTTTGGTCGCATTTGTGTTAGTAGTCACTGTCATGGAATTTTGGACTGGCGAGACTTGAATTAAATTATGTTTGCAATGTAAGGTGCAATTACAGCTAAAAGCTTTGGTGAATAATTGAAATTTTTCTATACATTTTGCACATCAATTCTGTTCATCTCTTCATGCATCTTTTTTTTTCACAGTATCCTGTCAGTCTTAAGTAATTTTCTAAGTGTTTACTTGAAAAAAATTCCAAGAGCCAGAGCCAGAATCCTATCTTTATCGTGGATATAATTCATTCCTTTACTCTATAATCAATTATGTTTGGTTTGTGCTGTGGCAACTTTGTTTCCGAAAAAAACTGAAGCAGTTAAGAGCAATATTTTCTTCAAAGAATTCCATGTAACACATGGGTCATTAAGGCATGGACCAGTAGATTTGAACCAAACTTTATATGAAGCCATATTAGTACTGTGTAGCAAGGTTTTAATTCATACCTGGTACCAGTTGGTACCTTACACAACCACCAATACTTACTAATTTGGTTTTGTTTCTCCTGGTCCTTTACATCCATGGACCAGGTACCAGGGTGCATGCACGGTGGTGTCAAAGCTGTGTATATTTGCGTGTGTGTGTGAACTTCCTAAAGCTTTCATCCATCCCATTGGTGTTATCAATACAAGAATTCTTTTCTGGTTTCATGAACCATTCCAATGGCCACTTCATCAGTTTGCAGTTCTTGTTGGAATATTTTAGCTCTTGCATTGGCACGGGGAACCATTGTTCACCAAGCTGATGCGAGAGATTTCTTCGTGTTTGGTGATTCACTAGTTGATGGTGGCAGCAACAACTATCTGGCCACATCTGCGAGAGCCTATTTACCCCCTTATGGAATCGATTATCCAACATGTCAAGCCACAGGCCGATTCTCTAATGGCCTCAACTTACCTGACATTATGAGCTAAATTTCTATACGTATTTTTCTTTATACATGTAGCATGATTTATAATTAAATGATACCAAGCTCATATAACTGCTCAAGTGTGCCCATGGCAAAAATGCTCGCATGCACTGTCGCCCACTAGCAGGATGACTTGGTCCAACTAATGATCATAAAATGTTTTTTTCAGGTGAGAATATTGACACAGAATCCCCATTGCCATACCTGTGTCCAGAGCTAACAGGACAAATTCAGGCTACTTGCTGGTGCCAACTTTGCTTCTGCTATCCTTGATGACACTGGAGCTTTTGCAAGTAAATAATTTCTCAATGGCCTAATCATTTCAGTTTTTTTTTTTTTTAATCCTCCAAGATATCCTATCTCTAAAGACCCAGATTAATCATTTATTATTCTGTCAGATGCATAAAGTAGGGAGAGCTACCCAGAGAGTTTTTTGCATAAATAAGGACTCGAACTCAAGATCATTTGCTTAAGCTATTAAAGCTCCTTCCACTCAAACCAACCTTCTTATGTGCCTAATCTTTTCAGTAACAAATGAGGTTTATATCTAACAAGGTGATCCAATATATGGCCTATACAAGGCAACAATTTCAGATGAATTTAATAACAATTCTTTACGTTCATACACTATTGAAGTATTTCCAAGAATACCAGCAACGAGTCGGTGCAAGTATTGGAGTTGAGAAAACCAGGCAGCTTGTCAATCAACCATATGTTCTCATCTGTTTTAGTGGCAATGATGTTGTCAACAACAACTACTTTGTACTTATTCTATGAGGTCTCGCCAATATAGTTTGCCAGATTATGTGGAACATCTCATTTCAGAGTACCAGAAAATATTAATGGTAAATCCTTAGCTTGTCTCTGTAAACCAGGCATACTTTTTAGTGGCAGGATATATACTGCCTTCATCTTTTCCTTTTCATCATATTTTTTTTAACTTGCTTGAAGGCTAGCGAAGACAATGGATAACTGCAAAATATGTTTAAAATTTCAGCATTCTGAAACCCCAACCTGCTAATTGCTAAAGAAAAAAAAAAACACTGCAATAACTACAGAACATACTGACACAAAATTATGCTTACAAATAACTGTAAGAGAAAATTAAATTGGCCTAAGTCTAACTTCAAGTAGATTGTGAATCTTAAATCAGGACCAAACTTGGCAAAAGACATAAACTGTCCTTAACATCTGCTGCCCATTCATTGTTGCAGAGGCTGTATGACCTTGGAGCAGCCGAGTTCTTGTGAGAGGCACTGAACCACTGGGTTGCATTCCAGCAGAATTAGCCATGAGGAACACAAATGGTGGTTGCTCAGTGAACTACAACGACCTGCATCCCAGTACAATCCACATCTTCAGAGAATGGTAAACGGGAACAACAGAAAAATCGGCAGAGATGTGTTTATTTCTGCAAATGCTCACCAAATCAACTTGGATTTTGTCAGCAATTAACATACGGTACTTTGTTTCGCTTCCAAAAGAGTTATTTGCAAACACTTCCATTATTAAGCAACATAACAAACATACATTTTTTCGGTTGGACAGGATTTATAACATCAAAGATAGCATGTTGCGTACAAGGACCATTCATGGCTTAGGACTACGCACAATGTTTTCAAACAAGTGTTCTAACCGTGAACTCCACGTTTTCTGGGAGGCAAACAGAGTTGTAGTACAGCAGGTCATGACTGGCTCCACCAAGTACATGAAACCCATGAACCTAAGCACCATCTTGGCCTTGGATTTCAGAATCTGATAGATTTTGGTGATCATAGTTTTGTGTTCTGGATAACATGAAATTTCACAGTGTCGATCCTTGAATTAAATTATGCTTGTATGATATTATGTGAGTGAGCAATTCCGAAAATATTTCATGAATAAAAAGAAAGGAGAATCAAACCAAAACCATGGCAAATCTTATGATTTACCTAATAACACAATCCCAATTTAATAGATAAATAAAAGAGTAGTGATGCCTCATGTTGTCCACGAATGTGAATGGGTGGAGATGACTAATCTTAGCAACTGAAAAACCTGCAAAACAAAGGTAGTCCTCTCTTTCAAAAAATCCTCCAACGGTTAGGTCAATAACTTGCAGCTTATGAGAGCCTTAGAGGCTAAGCTTCTTCCATGTGAAGCGAGCTGAGAAAGTGAGAACAAATGACGTTGCGAGAGAGTTGAGAGATGGATCCCCTTCACAATGGGCTTTAGAAGGATACTTATGCGCTCAAACCCGCATGAAAGATGTACTTAGATCTGCATCATGTGAAGACGAAGTGGGCCTTCTTATAACAAAATGAGATGGATTGGATACCTGGAAGTCTGAGGGTCTACAACAGTTGTTGGTGGCTCCCTTTTGTCCAGATTATGAAATTTATAATGCTTTGAAGAACATCGGCACGATTTAGTTTAAATGAACAATTACTATTCCTATTATTGCTATTACTATTCCGATTAGGAAAAATTCTCCTTTTCATTCAGTTTTCTCTTATTTGTTTTTTCTTTTGCTGTGGTGTGTGTGTTGGTTTGATTTTGAGCCCACCCTTTCCATTTATTTTATCTTGGTTGCGGTCGCTCTTTTTCCTGAGGCTTAGAAGGGATCGATTGGTCTTTTTCCTTCTTCTTTAAAAGGTTAGATGAAGGCATTATATTTTACAAAAAATAGCAATGCTTTTTCGTTTTTTGTTTTTTTTTAAGTCTGGCCTCCTTTTTTTCAATTTTTTTATTTATAGGACTATTACTATACAGTCAAATATACTATTTAGGTCCCTATTTATTAGAAATATATATTTTTAAATAATAATATTATTTATAGTTAATAATTATAATATATTATCATTATGTTTTATAAAAAATATCAAATTATTATTATAAAATAGTTATTTGTATTTTGATTGTAAATATTGTATTTATTATACAATATGATATTTTGTTATTATTTTAAATTATGATATAAATAATAAATTAATATATTATTTTTTGAATTTGAATATATAAAAAAATTGATAAGTATATAAGTAAATTAATATAACATATTATTAGTTAAATATTATTTTAAATATATTGGCATAATAATATAATATTTATTAATAAATTATTTATTTAAATATCACATGACAATTGTTCACCTTCTATATAAATAATTTATTTTTTTATTTTTTTATCATGAAATTAGATGTGAAAATATAAAAAAAAGATCGTTTTTTATTTTATTTTTATTTTACGTACAGTTTGACAGTAATATAACATATATTATATTTTTTAAAATTTTAGTTTGAACATATATATCTGATTATATTATTTTTATTATTTAAAATTTATCTCTTCGATTGTTTGTTTCTTATTAAAATTCTCATCGAATTACTTTTTAAATTTTATATAATTTTATTTGTTAATAAATTTCATTTTTTTTATATGGCTTTTGAAATAAAACTTTTTAACATTATTGTTTTATTTTTTAAAATATATTATTATAATTTATACGATTGATTATTTTTATGATTTTTTAATGAAAATAGTATTGTTGCATATATAAATTCGATGAGAAAGAAAGGGCTAAAAGTGTGTTTCGGATAATTTAACTTAATTTTTTTAAAAAATAATAGTCGATTAAAAAAATAATTTGACTTGGTTTTTTTTAAAAAGTTAATAATTAGTTAAAAAATTCACATGTTTTATTTGGTTATATATATATTCAAATTTTATCAAAAACAAATTTACGGTAGTTTTTATTTAAATCTATTCACTTCAATATATTCTATGAAATTTAAATGGTTTTTTTAATATATTTTTAAATTTATTTTATATACTACGAGCCTTATTTAAGTGGGTCAATTTTTTAAAAAATATTAATTAGTTAAAAATTTTACGGGTTTTATTTGGTTTTATATATATAGTTAGAATTCATCGAAACCAATTTTATGGTAGTTTTTATTTAAATCCATTTTCTTTGATATATTTCATGCGATTTAGGTGATTTTTTTATATTTTTTTTATTTATTTTATATACTCTAAATCTTCTAAGGACGATATGTGTGTGTGTGTGTGTGTGTGTGTGTGTGTGTGTTTTGTTAGAAATTAATTATATCGCACACATAATACCAATTATTTATTATTTATTTTTTTCATGTTCTAAAATCTGTAGTTTTAAATGAGATAATTTAATTAATATTTTGAAAGAACCTCTTAATTGTTCAAATATAAATTTTTATACTAATATTATAAATTATTTTGTTAATAAATATATATAAATCAAATAAATTCGTTGAATATATAGATTCAATTTACATTAATCTTCAAAAACAAAACGTCTACTTGCATCATACTATACGAATCATTAACCCCTGTTTATATAATGGTTGTCTTACTGCGGCGTAGCTCGAGTATCTAACTAGTTTATATAACTAAAAGAGGTGGAGTGTTTGAACAGTGATTTTCACAATTCACCCTCATAAAATACTATTCACTCACTATAGCTAGGTTTTTTTTTTCAAGTTGTTTCATTTTAGTCCTAAAAATTTTAAAACAAAAATTTAAACCCCTAACCGATACATTGCACATGTTTTTTTTTCTTTGATTTTTTTCATCAATTTAAGTTCTTTTTTTATTTAACTCGGGTGTTAAAATTTTAAAAAATTAATCGTTATTTTTCACATAAACGAGACGATTATATAATATAACATATAACTAAAAAAGGTGGGGAGTTTGAATAATAATTTTCACTTGTTCACCCTCTCATAAATCACTATTCACTCACCGTAATTAGGTTTTTTTTTCAAGTTATTTCATTTTGGTCCCTAAAATTTTAAAATAAAAATTTTAACCCCCTAGTTGATACACTACACTTTTTTTTCCTTTGATTTTTTCCACCAATTTATGTTCTTTTTTTATTTAATTTGATGTTAAAATTTTAAAAAATCAATCGTTATTTTGTTCACATAAACTGACAATTATATAATATATATGATATGCTTTTAGATTTTAGAATAAATATATGCAATTCTTATTGTTTAAAATTCATCTTTTCAATTTATTATAAAAATTCACATCAAGGTAGTTTTTATTCTTATTTTTATATTAAAAATTAACTATATATCTTCCAACATAAAACAAATTATTTACTATGAATTTTTTTTAACATTATAGAACCAATTTATTTGAAATAAAATAATTAAAATAATATTTTAAAGAAACCAATCAATTATTCAAATATAATTTTTTATGCTAATTGTATTGATTATGTGTGTGTGTGTGTGTGTGTGTGTGTGTGTATGCATATACTTGAAAAAATTTCTTCTCAACAACATTAAATAAGAATAAAAATCTATTTTTTTATTGGTTAATTTTTATGCAAATCTATACATCAATTGTAAATTTTTTTTGGATAAATTCCAATAAAAAATATAATTTTAAAGTATTTATTTTTGAATTCTTAATTAATATTTCGGGTTTAAATTATTATAAGTTTTTATTTAAGAAACTCTAAATAAAGAAGAATAAATAATATTTTTTTAAGTATAATTTTTATGAAAAAAATGAAAAAAAATAGTTATAATGAAATAAAAAATTAATGAAAATATTATGAAAATTTGAAATGATTTTATTCTATCTACCTATAGCGTTACGCTAATAATTTCAAAATTTTATCTTCTTATCAGCATTAAATAAGAAAATTTTTTTCATTTTTTAATTTTTGTAAAAGTTTTTTCATTAATTATAACTTTATTTTTTAGAATACAATATTATAAAAATTATATTTTTATATTTTTTTAATTCTTGATTAATATTTTAGTTAAAATTATTATAATTTTTTATTTTAAAAGAAATCCATAAAGAAGAATGATTTTTTTTAAGTAAAAAATTTATTTAAAAAATTAAATAATTAATTAAATAAAAAATTATAAGTATAAATTTTAAAATGATTTTGTTTTACTAGACCCACAGTATAGCACGGCAACCGACTAGTTAATACTAATTCATACGGTAATGGATGGGGTGGTTGAGAATTTTTGGATATCGAAGACCCTAAATGGAGCTCTCCTCAATGGGAGCGAGCATGACTTTTGTTCTATACAACATCCAATTACCTATAAACTAAAGTAAAATAATTTTTCATCGTATCAATTACCGAGTGTTAATCACTATTTATTGCTACGAGTGCTTGGGTTTTTTTCTTTGCCAGCACCAAAGCCTTCTTTCCTTTCTTTTTTTTTTTGTTTACTGTTCATGTGAACAATAAACGACTCCCCCTTCTTTTTTTCTTTGATTTGTACAAAGAATGCCCAAGAAACCATTTTCCACCATCAAATCTCTGGTTGTTAAATCTCATTCTCTATACGTGCATTCTCTAATTATTGTGGATTCTTCAAAATCAATATGTCATGGGCCTTTTTTTTATTTTTTCCCTATGGATTGGATCAAATATATAAAATTGTTTAGAAAAATATATGAAATCAAAAGTGAAAAAAATTATTTATAATTTTTTAATCAAAAATTTTAGATTTAACTATTTCTTATTTGTATTTTTCAGAATTTATCCTTATTAATATATTGATTATTAACTAAAAAGAAAATTAAATAGTTTTTTTACAAAAAAACATTAGTATTTCATAAAATTGTTCGAAAAACATAAATAAAAACTATTAAAAGCTTATGTAGAATTGCACAAATAGTTTTTTTTTATTTAATGTTGATGAGAATATTGGTTTTTGAAAAACAAATATGAATTTAATTTTTATATATTTATGTACAAAAGAATGAATAATAGTAAAATAAAAAACTATATTAATTTGAATCATTGAGTGGTTAAGCCAAAATATTATTTTAATTATTTAATTCAAAAATAAATAAATAAATAGTAAATGCTTAGTGTAGAAAAATAATATTATTATAATATGATCATAATATTAATAACATATGACTATATTAAAAAAATAATAATAAAGTACTAAATTTTAAATAATTAAAATAATTAAAAAAAATCATCCAAACAAAATGGAAATAAATCACAATATAATTAAAGTTTAAAATTAAAATATATATATATATATATATATATATATATATATATATATATATATATATATAAATCATGGATTGGGCGGTGGAAGCAGGTCTTAATTTGGTGCTACTTACTTTAACTGCCACAAATTGATGCATGTCACTTGGTGTATGGATTGGGCGGTGGAAGTAAGTCTTAATTTGGTGCTACTTACTTTAACTGCCACAAATTGATGCATGTCACTTGGCATCATAGCGATCCTTGTGTTAATTTCCGTCTGACGAATAACGAAGGGAAACCCAAAAGTTGCCTCATGGGTTAATTATTCCAGCTTTACATCACACAGAATTTGCAGCTTTATTTGTATTCAAAATCATAGTCATAAGGATTGATTAATGAAACCAGGGTTCTGTTTATGGAACACAAAGAAAATCTAAAATTTGTAGCTTCCCTTTGCTTTGGATTGATTAATGATGTTTTAAAGAGGACTATTGTATGTTTAATTACCATGGCAATGCATCTCATGCTATGAATCATAATCTTATTGATAATATAATTGAAGATATTAAAGTCATAAGGATTGATTAAACATTCAAAAAAAAAAAAGGGAAGCAATACCCTTTTAATTTAATCATTTTTGGACAAGCATCCCTCTAGTTGTTTTTGGTTGCTATGAGTATTATACTAAGTTTTTACCTATAAGACATTCCAAGATCCAATGACACAATCAGATTTTCATCATGGATAATTCATTAATTTACTTTGTAATAATTCTGTGTGGTTTGTTGATCAGTGAAAAAGCCCTTATATATACAGTGAAATGTAAAAGTTTCTTTTTGTCCCCTGAAAACCAGCTTTGCTGCGTATCAAAGCCAACCACAATATATAGCACATACATTATTAAATATCAAGGCATAATAAACCAGTGGATTTGAATCCAGCTATATAAAACCCTATCAGTATTTTGTAGCAAGGTTTTAATTCATAGCAAGGACAACTTGTCCACAACTACCAATACTAATTTGCTTTTGGATTTGCTGATTGTTTACATCGAGGGTGGTAGAGCCAGAAGTTGTATATATAGATACATGTCCATCCTGTATCTTCCATCCACATCTACAGGTCTTTGTCTTGTCTCTTCTGGGTTTCATAGAACATTTCGATGGCAACTAACTCTTCAGCTTGCAGTTCTTATGAGGTGATCTTAGGTCTGGCATTGGTACTGGGAGCCGTTGTTCACCTAGCTGAGGCTAGGGCTTTCTTTGTCTTCGGTGATTCGCTAGTCGATAGTGGCAACAACAACTACCTGGCAACAACTGCACGAGCCGATGCACCCCCTTACGGAATCGATCATCCAACACATCAACCAACAGGCCGATTCTCTAATGGCCTCAACATTCCTGACCTTATCAGTTAAATTTCCAATACAAACTGATATTTTATAGCATGATTTACATATCATTGTTATCTAGCTCATATATATGTCTACACAAATGTTCAAATTCACAAATGCTCACACGCACACTAACTTTTTCTCATGATACCTTATTAATAATCATAAAATGCATTTGTCAGGTGAGCAAATAGGCTCAGAATCCCCATTGCCTTACCTGAGTCCAGAGCTAAGTGGACAAAAACTACTTGTTGGTGCCAACTTTGCTTCGGCTGGAATCGGAATCCTTAATGACACTGGAATTCAGTTTGTAAGTAACCTGCTTTCTAATTTCTCGATGACTTTTTCAGTATAAACACCTTTTTGCTTTCAGTGACAAGGAAACTATGTCCGAATAGCTGGTCTGATATGTGGCTTAAAATGCAACAATTTCAGATAAATATAATAAGGATGCATAGACAATTGGAGTATTTCCGACAATACCAGCAAAGAGTCGGTGCACTTATCGGAGCCGAGCAGGCCAAGCGACTCGTCAATCAAGCACTTGTCCTGCTCACCGTTGGAGGGAATGATTTTGTCAACAACTATTATCTGATTCCTTACTCAGCAAGATCTCGCCAATATGATTTACCAGATTATGTACAGTATCTCATTTCAGAGTACAAGAAACTATTGATGGTAATTCCTCTTGTTTCGTTTAAAAATTATTGTATAGTAAATTAATATAAGAAAAATATAAATAAATTGGTTGAGACTAATATCAATAAAGATTGTGAAATTCTTAACTAGACTAAACTCTAATTTAAAAACAACATGAATCATCCCTAATGCCTCCTCATTTTCATCATTTCAGAATCTGTATAATCTTGGAGTTCGCCGAGTTATTGTGACTGGTACTGGACCGCTGGGTTGTGTTCCGGCTGAGTTGGCTATGAGGAGCACAAATGGTGGTTGCTCCGCAGAACTACAGCGAGCGGCTGCTTTGTATAATCCACAACTTGAGAGCATGATAAATGACGTCAACAGAAAAATCGGCAGTGATGTGTTTATTGCTGCAAATACTCACCAAATGCACACTGATTTTGTCAGTAATCCTCAAGCATTTGGTACGCAATAGCTTCGAATTTAGACTTTCACTTCATTACTAAGGATCGTTTATGCAGGTTGCGATTTATCACAAAAACTGATTATTTTGGCTGGACAGGATTTACTACATCAAAGATAGCATGTTGTGGACAAGGACCATACAATGGCCTAGGGCTGTGCACAGCGTTGTCAAACTTGTGCCCTAACCGCGACCTCTATGCATTTTGGGATCCATTCCATCCATCAGAAAAGGCAAACAGGGTTATAGTACAACAGATCATGACCGGTTCCACCCAATACATGAAACCCATGAACCTCAGCACCATCATGGCCTTGGATTCCATGACCTGATAGATTATGTCAAGAATCCACCTTCTTAATCCCCATGACTTTCAATGCAATTCCAATTGTGTTTCTTTCAGTTTTTTTGGTCGCATTTGTGTTAGCAGTCACTGTCATGGAATTTTGGACTGGCGAGACTTGAATTAAATTATGTTTGCAATGTAAGGTGCAATTACAGCTATAAGCTTTGGCGAATAATTGAAATTTTTCTTTACATTTCGCACATCAATTCTGTTCATCTTTTCAGGCATCTTTTTTATTTCACAGTATCCTGTCATTAGCGATGCGAACCTTTCTTCTTCTTTTTTCCCCCAATATTTTTTTCCCTTCTTATTAAAAGGTATATATCCTCGTACTAATTTTTGTATACTGAGATTTAATCCTTTCCTAATTCACATGCTTTCCTTATCCAAATTACCTTAGTGCACCAAAAACGAATGAAATTAGTTACCTTGACATCATAAGAAAAATACCAGCAATTGAAGTATTTCCAAGAATACTTTGTACCTTATTCTCTGAGGTCTCGCCAATATAGTTTACCAGATTATGTGGAACATCTCATTTCAGAGTACCAGAAAATATTAATGGTAATTCCTTAGCTTGTCTCTGTAGACTAGGCATATTTTTTAGTGGCACGATATATACTGCCTTCATCTTTTCCTTTTCATCATATTTTTATTCACTTGCTTGAAGGCTAGTGAAGACAATGGATAACTGCCAAATATGTTTAAAATTTCAGCAGTCTGAAACCCCAACCTGCTAATTGCTAAAGAAAAAAAAACACTGCAATAACTACAGAACATACTGACACAAAACTATGCTTACAGATAATTGTAAGGGAAAATTAAATTGGCCCAAGTATAATTTGAAGTAGATTATGAATCTTAAATCAGGAACAAACTTGGCAAAAGAAATAAACTATCCTTAACATATGCTGCCCCATTCATTGTTTCAGAGGCTGTATGACCTTGGAGCACGCCGAGTTCTTGTGACAGGCACTGAACCACTGGGTTGCATTCCAGCAGAATTAGCCATGAGGAACACAAATGGTGGTTGGTCAGTGAACTACAACGACCTGCATCCCAGTACAATCCACATCTTGAGAGAATGGTAAACGGGAACAACAGAAAAATCGGCAGAGATGTGTTTATTGCTGCAAATACGCACCAAATCAACTTGGATTTTGTCAGTAATTAATCCTAATGCATACGGTATTTTGTTTCGCTTCCAAGAGAGTTATTTGCAAACACTTCCATTATTAAGCAACATAACAAACATACATTTTTTCGGTTGGACAGGATTTATAACATCAAAGATAGCATGTTGCGGACAAGGACAATAAAGTAGCTTAGGACTATGCACAAAGTTTTCAAACAAGTGTTCTAACCGTGAACTCTGTTTTTTGGGATGCATACAATCCATCAGAAAAAGGCAAACAGAGTTATAGTACAGCAGGTTATGAGTGGCTCCATCAAGTACATGAAACCCATGAACCTAAGCACCATCTTGGCCTTGGATTCCAGAACCTGATAAATTTTGGCGATCATATTTTTGTGTTCTGGATATCATGGAATTTCAGAGTGTTGATCCTTGAATTAAATTATGCTTGCACGGTATTATGTGAGCGAGCAATTCCGAAAATATTTCATGAATAAAAAGAAAGGAGAATCAAACCAAAGCCATGGCAAATCTTATGATTTACCTAATAACACAATCCCAATTTAATAGATAAATAAACTTTTAAATAGTACATACCTCAAGAGTAGTGATGCCTCCTGGTGTCCAAGTATGTGAAGGGGCGGAGATGACTAATCTTAGTAAATGAAAAACCTGCAAAACAAAGGTAGTCGTCTCTTTAAAAAATGCCTCCAACGGTTAAGTCAATAACTTGCAACTTAGGATAGCCTTAGAGGCTAAGCTTCTTCTATGTGAAGCGAGCTGAGAAAGTAAGAACAAATGACGTTGCGAGAGAGTTGAGAGATGGATCCCCTTCACAATGGGCTTTAGAAGGATACTTGTGTGCTCAAACCCGCATAAAGATGTACTTGGACCTACATCATGCGAAGAAGAAGTGGGCCTTCTGAGGACAAAATGAGATGGATTGGGTATAGTAAAGGTTTTGATGAGTATTGGAAGACTCATCTAGTAAAATAAGAAAACATAGGCCATGTAGGCAGAGCAAAGGTTCTATATTAAAAAAGAATGGTCGACAGTTTTTGATACTAGATACTTGCAAGAAAAGTCTTTTTGATTAGACAAAAGACCCTCCAATGATTAAATTAATAGTCTAAAGGTTGCAAAATGGCTTGATAAGGCTTTTTAGATAAAATATTTTACTATATGTGCATAGTATTAGAAGAGTGGGAATTGATCAAAGATTGGAACCTAGAACTCTTAGTTATTTGGTTCTTTTTATAAATAGGCATAAGTGCAACTTGTATGGTATAAAAGACAAGATTGTCCTTTATATTTGGTGTTAGTGATTAAATCAATAATTAATAATGATCTCGTTGTGATTTCATTTAATTTATGACAACATTAGTGCTATAATGATAAGTGATAATTTAATTAGTATCATTATTAGAGAGCATCATCATTAAATATTTTGTCTCTTTTAGCGATACTAGAGGTAAATGGGGTCTTTTTCTCTAGTCGAGGCATCCTAAGATGGGAGAGTTTTAAACTTTTCTTTCCATGTATGGGGTAGCTATCTCTTAGAAACTTTCGGTTCATCCGATTATTTGTTGCCTTTTACCGTGAATTATAGGCCCGACTAGGACTTGATAGATACAACGTTATATGTATTCATGGACTCTTTATGTTAAGGTGAACAAAGATAACATATGTCACCCGTGTCTACCACTACTAATAGCTCCCTCAAGTCTTGGCGAGCTTGTTTAGCCTAGACTTAAAGGTTATTGGTTTAGACATTTTAAGTGATGTTTTTCTTTACTAAGGAGATTATCGGTGTTTTTTCTTTTGGTTTTGCTTGGCTTAGGTTAGTCGAATCCTAACACCTCAAAATCGATGGTTTTAAGTAAGAAAAAGATAACTCGTTTGTACTCAAAAAGCCTCCAATGCCATAAAAAGTTACATCTCTTATGTTTCTCAAAAGGGTAGTGATCATCCTTACTAAGAACCTACATGCCCAACGCTCTATTTTATCTAGCTTTGCCATATTAGCATAGGCATATCCTTTAGGTCTTATGTAGTATAATTAGATAAGAATACTCTCATTCGCCTATATATAGGCTTTTTGAAGAAAATTTTCCTATACTTTTGTGAGTTTATATTTTACAATAGTAATTTTTTTATGAGTCGTTTAACATCCATTAAATTTTTCTATAGAGATTTTCTTTTGTTCCCTTTTTTTTTATCAACATTTGCTTACCATGTATCTTGAGAGTATTTTTTCAATTGGGTGCTTCTCCGAGACATTTTTTTAGATCTCGTATTACAGGAGGTTATCTTTTATCTTTTCTCAAATTTCTTTTTCTATAGTACAAAGATAAGTGATTTGGAAAGAGTTCGAGTTGCATCTAGAGCTATGTCTAGTGGAAGTGGGAGAAGATATACAAGATCTAATATAGGTAAGTCTTCTTCTCTTTCTCAAGGTGAGTCTAGTTGTGTGTCTTATTTTACTATAAGAGGTTTAATTTTTTTCTCTAGTTAAAGGATGGTTATCTATAATACCTTATTAGGGGATAAATTTTGTTTAATTTTAGCTCTTATAAGTGATAGAATGAACAAACCTAATCCTAGCATGATCGAAGAGAACTTAGAAATTATTATCCATATATGCATCCTAGAGTATGGGTTTACCTTTCCTCTATCTCGCTTCAATGGTAGTGGTGTTTGATTACTTTCTCTTGAGTGTAGGTTAGATTCATCAAAATAAATAGATTGTTCCGCTACTTTCAACCACTTTTGCCGAAGTCCCGGTGACATTACAACTCTTAGACTTTTTAGATATTCTCACTATTTGACTTGCAAAGTTGGTTAAGTTTTAGATATATACTTTTATAGCTAGTAGAGCAAGCTTGTTGAAAAAGGTGTTCATGAAGACCCTTGACCTATTTGGTCAATAAAAAGAGAAATGGTGTATTGCTAAATACCGAGAGGTGTCTTCCCAAAGTCAAAGTTAGAGAATTTGAGAGTGTCCCCCTTTATAAAATTCTGTTTGGGGTAGCCCTAATATCTTCTCTCTTGAAATAAATGTTGAGCTTAGCTTTTAGGTCTTGTTAAAGACCAAAAGAAGTATAGGGTTAACTAGTTAGTTAGGGGTTGATCTTTGATATTTTACTCATTAGATAGATAGTTAAACTTTTGTTTGACTTTCTACGTAACCACATTATCTTTTTTTTATTATTAATAGCTCTTTTGTTTTTTAATGGACTTGTTGTTTGAGTGAGACAATAACCGTAGTTGGTTTTTCATAGAACCCTATATACCTTATGTGGAGAAAAAACTCACCAAATATGAGGCTACATCCTCTTCATTGGTACCTACTCTAGGGATAAGGCCTACTATTGATTTGAAACTATCTCTGTAGAGATGCGGATGAATGGTTAAACAATAAGTACAAAATGGCTTCCAACACTACAAAACTAGGAAGCACTTCTATATATATCTTAAATCCTTTGTTAGAGACGAGGCAAAGTAATCCTCTTTTACCACTAAGACGAGTTGTAGCTCTAGTGGTCATCTTAAGGGATAAGGCGACTTTTAGGCCATAGAGGGCCTCAATAATGGCGATTCTTCGCTTCTATTTCTATCCCATAGCTAGGAAAGGATTTTGATAGAATCCCTATATGTGTGGAGACTTCTTTTTATGCCCATCATCTAGGAAAGAAAGTCATTAGGACATCTATCCTCGGGTTAAGCCATGTGACGAGGGGTACTCCATACTCTTATTTTTTATAAGGTAGCTTCATCTATGGTAAGAGTTGTTCGAGTAGTGTTGCTTTTTTAGGAAATTGAAAGAAATGAGGCCTCTCATATTCTTGGAGAGATCTTACTACTTTTGGCTAACATAGAGCCTTAAGCCTCATAGTTCTTTAACTAGATAGAAAGATAGAGGAGCCATGCAACTAAGCCTTATTATAAGTGCACCTATATATATACTTTTTTTTTATGGTATTTTATCTTAGAGTCGTGTTCACTTTTATTCTTTTATAGTTTTTCTAAGTGCAAACTCACTTTGTTTATAGGTAGAGGATTAAGAAGAAATAAATATTTGAGATAGTCGAACTCTTCTAAGGTTTTTATACTATCATGTTGAAGAAGGATACGGAGATCCAATCTTTATAGAAGAAAATTAAAGAAAGACTAAAAGACATAGAGAAGACTCGGTAGAAGTCTTTCCCCTTTATAGAGGCCCTTCTAAAGGCGTCTATCCCCCTTTATATACCTATCGGTAGTGCAATGATCAGTTAGAATCAAGACATTTCTAAACCCATAAATCTAAAAAAAAATTTGGATAATATGTAAATCGCACTCTTGCTATCTATCAAGATACAATGAACTTTATATTTAAAGATAATGATAGATATATCTAAAGCGTCGTTGTTGGGATGGGCCGTTCTAGTCTAGTATTTAAGAAAAAAACTTAGGGCTCATGCCATGGAACTGCATATTAGATTATGGAGGGAACCACATTTTCCCTAACTTCTTTTTCATGAGACTCGCCTTGACTAGATTCTTCCTTTAGAATAATGGCAACTTTCGAAGGGTCTTGTTAATCATGAGTGGGTTTAATGTTATGGTGAATGGGATCATCTATTAGGAATCTCTTAATATATCTCCTAACAATTAGTCTTTTAATCTGTTTTATCAAGGAGTAACAATCTTCAATGTCAAGTCCATGATCCTAGTGATAATGGCAATACTTCGAGACGTTTCTAAATGCATCAATCTAAAAGCTTTTTTGGATAATATATAAATCATGATCTTGCTATTTATCAAGATACGATGAACTTTATATTTAAAGATGATACGAAGATGTTTGAAGCGTCATCGTTAGGATAGGCCATTCTAGTAAAGTCTTTAGGGGAAAAATTACGAGCTCGCGCTATGGTATTGCAAGATTAGGTTGTAATGAGAACTCCATTTCCCTAACTTTTTTTCTCACAAGACATGTCTTGACTAGATTCTTCTTTTAAAATATTGACAACTTTCAAAGGGTTATCTTAATGGTGATTAGGTTCAATGTTATGGCGAATAGGATCATCTGCCAAGAATCTCTTAAGAGATCTTTCAATAATTAGTCCGTTAATCTATTTCTTCAAGGAGTAATGATCTTCAATGTCGAGTCCATGATCTTAGTGGTAATGAAAATACCTTTTTTGCTTTTATAAGTGGGAAGTACCATTTATCTATAGCAAGTAATTTACTTACGCTTCTCTATGGATTATCACAAACACTTCTATTTAGATTGTATTTAAAGGAGTAGTCTCAAGCTAAAAAAATATGACGTGATTGTGGACATGCCTTTTGGGTTTTTTTCGAGCTAGTATAGGCATATGGTGACTTTTCCCTTCTTAATCTATCTTAAGCATTTGAAACCGAGAGATGATTTTCCTTTATGACTACTGTTTCCTTCATCTTAATGTGATTTTGGACTAGTTTTTTCACCTAATATAAATTCTAATAGAGAAAGACATATATCTTTATCTATAAGATGGTGTCGCTACCTTTTTTTATAAGGACCTCAATCACTACCGGTTATAATAGATTATTCGCTTTTTGTATCTCTTTGTGAAAAGCAAAAAAGGTATGCTCGGGTGCTCTCTTCCTCTTGTTGTGTGATTGAGAAGAGGTCGATTGAGCTCTTTTTTATAAAAATGCTTATGGAGAAATGAGCCACTAGTTTGAAACTAAGGTTCTCAAAACTTAAGATAAACTCGGGATCTAAACTATTGTATCATTATCGAATGATACCTCAAAAGATGGTGGGAAGCATTTTGCATATGGCATTTGTCATTTATAATACTAGTTCAAGAATTCTCCTCATATTCTATTCATACTCTCTAGGGTCAATGAAGTCATCATACATATCTAAATTCATCTTTCTAGAGATAAATTTCTTAACGAGCTTAGTGCTAGAATGCTAAGAGATGGTCCGAACATGAAAGAGAGCAAATGTTAACCTTTCTTTCAACGAAGTGGTGCTTAAGCTCTAGGTTCATGGATGACATTTTTTACGAGAAGGAACTTTAGTGATGTCTTTTTTTATGTTCTTTGTTGGAATTGTATGCCTTTTTAGAGTTGCGGTGATGTTTAAATCTTCCTTCTCTTTCCTTTCTTCTAATAGATCCTTACTCACGAGCTCTTTTTTAAGCATCGTGCATGGTTTTGTTTGAGTTTTAGAGAGGGACAATAACCTCATTCTCAATTTCTTTCACTAGCACTCCCTCTTTACATTTTGTTAGGTGAGCATGGGCTTTGTTGATTGTTATGAGAAAAAGGGAAAGCTCCTTTCACATAGGGTACAAAGCTTGCCGACACTTAGAGTATCTAGGGTTAAGGATGTAAAGGTGTTTATAACGAGGAAGTTAGCACTTTAATTTGCTCTTAAGCTAGTCCCACTAGTTATCAATGGGATCAAGGATACTTTCGGTAAGAAATATATCGAAGAATTGGTGCTTGAATCGGTTGAAAATCAAAGTTTATTCAAAACTTTGTCTTTAAGAATGCTTGTATAAGGGTTTGGACATCTTATTATAGCTGGACAATATTCATAGATTGAATGTTGGGACTAGCAAAATCTAAAGAAGTAGTACGACTATGAATTTTTGATTGTTACGTCATACATAAGCCTAGAGACAATATACGGAATGAACAAAGAGATATGATGAAATTGGCTTTTTGCTTAGACCTTCACGTATGACACCAACTGATGAGTTATGGAAGACTCATATAGCAAAATAGAAAAACATGGTTGTCGTTGGTGGAGTGAGGATTTGGTACTCAAGAGAAACACTAGATAATTCCTAGCATAGGATACCTTCAAAATAGGTCCTTCGGATTGGATAAAAGATCCTTCGACAATTAAGTTAGTAATTAGAAGGTAGTAAAACGAGTACGAGAAGGCTCTTTGGAGAATATATATATATATATATATATATATATATATATATAGTTTCGGATGAGAGGGAATTAATCGGATATTTGACTTTGGAACTCTTGGTAATTTAGGCCTTTAAATAAGCAATTATGAGTGTAACTTACATGATGAAAAGATAAAATTGTCCTTCCCCTTTGACATTAATGGTTAAGGCTACAATCGATGGTGACTTGCTATCATTCTATCCGATTTGCAATGATAATAATGCTATCATAATGAGTGACGATTTGATTGGTATTATCGTTATAGAGCATCTTCAATAAATGTTTTGTCTTCTATGGCAATAGTGAAGAAAAGTAGAGTTTTTTTTTTTTTTTGGATAGACGCCCCAAGATGAGAGAGTTTCTAAACTTTTTCGGAGGGTAGCTTTTCGTGTAAGGATAGCTATCTATTCGAGACTTTAAGCCCATCTAATTATTTATTGTCTTTTATTATGACGTATGGGCTCGACTTGGGCTTGACAAATTTAGCATTGTATATGTTCGAGGACTCTTTATGTTTGGATGAACAGAGACGATATGTGTCACTCGAATCTATTAATTTCAATTTTAGTATTGAAATATATACGGATATTGTATCTAATACAAATAGCAAAAAAAAAGGTGTGATAGAATCCACAAGTTGGATTATGAATTACTCTTCAAATAATGAAATTAATAATACTCTTGTAGTTGTAGAAGAAGCTAGATTTTTTATAGATTTTTTGAATCTCCGGATATTTATAACGATAGAAAGAAATGAAGCTAATAAATTTCACGGTGACTTTTTAACTCGTTTTGTCCTTTGTGTTAGGCTATCGCCTTTCTCGACCTATATAATTCTAGTCGTGAAAGCAAGAAGTGGCGCACAAGAGTTATTTATCTTCAACTATCTTTTTCGAGGTATTTTTATTACTCTAATATGAGCAAATGCTTAGTCTTTGAATTTTTTTCCTTTTCCAAATCCTAGATATTTACTAATTTGTTATATTAATGACAATTCATGGTGATTGTGTTAAGATTGTTGTATTCAATATTGTTTTGTAATAATGATATTTTAATACTTTGTTTAGATGTGTTTTTCCTTACATATTAATTAGCTATCATCGGTTGTGGTCCGGTGATGCATGGTTGCCGGAGCAGATTTTATAAAGGTGACTTGACTTCAAATTGTGTGGTTGTAAAAAAATTCATTTTAGCTTTTATTATTATTATATTTTATTTCCTATAAAGTGTGATGATTAATAAGTTTGACAAACTACATTAAAAAAAAAAAAGGTTAGTATTACTATGTATGAGCCTTATTTGCTAGATTTATAATCCCATTAATTTCTAATATTAGTCACATGATGAATAAGTTATACTTTCTCTTTTCTAATTAATATATCTTGCGGACTAATTACTTTTACTTTATGAATAATGTATCCGTTTTTTTTATAGAAAAAAATTAGATTTTTAATTTTGAAGTTAACTTGTAGATTCATCATTATATGATTTAATATAATGAATTTTATAAATAATTTTTCTATGAATAATTTTTTCTTAATGTCTTAAACTTAGATATTATGACCAAAACCCTTCTGAATAACCATTAAAATAGATTTTCACTTTTTAATTATTAAAAAAAAATATATGTTTTATTCACTATGGGATGTCATAGAAATTGATATTTAAAAAATATAAATAATACTTATGCTAACTAAAATATAAAATGTAACCTTATACATTATTACTATTATTATTATTTAGAACAATAGCTTCATTATGAGTAGGTTTTACATTTTTTTCAATAAAGATAGAATTTAAGATAAAAGGGTATAGTTGAAGACATTGGATGTTTTAGTGGCTCGGTTATAATTGAGTTACTTAGTTGTAGTTTTCCCGACAAAAGACGCCCTTTTTTGGCATTTGCATTTCAAGTTTACTGCTCCAGGTAGAGTAAATTATAAATTATTCCTTAGTTTTGTAAAATAAATTAAATAGTTTCTGTTATTTTAAAAGCTAAGTATTTAGTTAATTGTTTGACCAATATTGATCATGATTAATTTAATATTAATTTATTTCAAAAAATATTTTTTTCTCATTAATCTTTCCATATCATTTACTTTCTTTTTCTTTTTCTATTTATTAAAACAAAAAAGATAAAAGGAATGAAAAAGGATTGAGTTACAAATATATTTAAAAATATATAGACCAAATAAATAGTTATTGAAACTAGAGGGACTATTTAACTCACTCAAAAAAAAAACTAAAGGGACTAATTTATAATTTACTCACTCTAGGTATTGCTCGTGCGATTTCGTAATATTTTTGCATACGATTACTGTTCACTGTGAATTTTAGATAAATCAAGTTTCATATCTAAGCAGAAGGAGAAAAACGTGAAAAGTGGTTTTCAAAACAGGTATATATGTGTAGCTTGCAAAGTTCAACAATGAGGAACCATGCAATGGGTGATGGAGGAGATAAAGATAATGGTAGGAGCAACAGTTTCTCTGTGCTTGTCGTGGATGATGATACTGTCGTTCGAATGGTCCATAGGATGCTCATGACAAGTATAGGACTGGAAGTGCAAGAAGTCAAAAACGGAAAAGAAGCTGTTGATCTTCATCATGCTGGGGCTTCTTTTGATCTTATTTTAATGGACATGGAAATGCCCATCATGAATGGCCCTGCGGTATGTTCTTGCGTAGTTGAACTTCACTCACTTTATGAATGAAAAATGCGTACAAATATATATATATTTCCATCACAACAATTTTCCTTCTTTTTTTTTTTTTGGATTGTACGGTAAAAGATATCTTTAGATATCGAACCAACTTGCATGTTAATCTATATTAAAATTTCTCGATATATTTAGAAATTTTTTTTTATGTGTTGATTTCAAAATTTAAACTCAAAAAATTAAAAAAGAAAGCCCAGCTCTTTGTACACTGAATATATCCTTTAAAGTGACATGCGAAATTTAATTACGATCGTCCTGTGTATGTTATTATTATTATTATTATTTTTATTTAGAACTCTCATGTGATTATTTTTCATTGATGATAGGCGACAAGGGAGCTTCGAGCGATGGGTGTCAAGAGCAATATTGTTGGCGTCACCTCTCGCACTTCTGAGTCTGTGCACAAAGATTTCATGGAAGCAGGCCTGAATCATTGTGTTGCGAAGCCATTGACTATAGAGAAGATCGACTCTTTCCTCCCGGATTCCAACAACAATTAATCTACCTCTCGTGGAGGCAAGACCAGATTGATCTATGAAATGTATGCCTAGCATGAGTTGTGAGGCCTTAGTCTATAGATAGATATATATAAACTCTACAGAAGAATAAATTAGTTTCAGAATGGCTATGCCATGTATGAAAGAAAAAGTTATATGAAAGTTTCCTATTTGCTAATTGATTGTTGAAGGATAACTCAACAAATTTCATCTTCTAAAAACAAAAGAAGAATATCCCTTTCGATTATCTAAATATTTTAATACCTTATATTAATTTAGTTTTTTAGAATAAAAAAGAAAAATTAAGATCCTTTTAACTTTTTTTATTTCCCATTTTTAAAGGCTTCTTAAGTTACAAAAAAAGAGAGGATTCCTCCTCCGCTCTTTTTTTTCTTGTTTTCTCCTTGTATGCTATTTTGCATCACATCCTTGTTGTGATTTTTATTTCTTAAAAGAGTCAAAATTTTCTCATTGGTGAGACGAGGTGACTCAATGTTGAGGTTGATTGTTTGGTGGTGCGACAATGGATGTGAGATTTTGGGCAATTTCTTTGTTAGGTAATGAGTTAAACATGATTTTTAGGTTATTTTGTGTTGGATACTGATGGTGGGTAGTTTTGGCTAAAGGAGGTTTTGGGTTGGGTAAATGGTAGCTTAAAGGCCTCTCCATAAGGACTGTATGGGTAGTCCTTGAAGGTTTGGAATGGTGGGGTGGGTTTTGGAGATTCACATCCTAAAAGCTTAAGATTAGTTCTGAGTACCATACTGGTTTTTCATGGGTTTTTTTTTTTTTTGTGCTTTTTATTTAGTTTGTTTTGACCTGTTTTTGAGTCCCAAAATTTCAAAACAAAATTTATTTATAAAAAAATGCTTGTTGCATAATTTTTATTTTTTTTAATATAAATTTTATAATTTTAAAACGTACTGGTATTTTTTATTCTTGATTTGTGGGAAAGTAGTTGAAAAAAATAAGAAGAACAGGCCAGAAAAATAGAAAAAAAAAAGAAGGAAGGCTAAAAGAAAAAAAACACAGTGGCAAAGATGGAAAAAAAATGAAAAGAGTGAAGACAGGAAAAAAAAAAAGGGAATTAAAAAATATAGGAGCATAGTTGGAAAAAAAATCAAAAGAGTAAGGACTGAAAAAAACAGAAAAAAAAAGGAAGAAAACGAATGAGAAAGAAAAGGACGCGGGGGTGGGATCAAAATAATAAAAAGAATGATGGTTGAGGAAAAGAATAAAAAATCGTCAATTAAGGGGAAAAAAAGGCCAATGACTGAAACTAAAAATTTGGAGAAAGATGGGGACCAAAAAGTTTCCCACTTACTCAAAACGGCATTGTTTGGGAGTTTGAGACCGAAAAAAAATAGGCCGAGTAAGGGCAAACTTATGTCATTTCCCTTCGCTGGGTACTATTCATCTTCTTGCCCAGACGTGTTTTTCATGGTTTTTTTCCAGCTTTTCACGTTTTTTTTAACCGCCACACACAACAGCCCTCTCATTCTCTCTCTCTCTCACGCTTCTTGCCCTCTCAATCAAGACAAAAGCATGCCTCTCTTCCTTGCTTTTTGTACCAAAATTTGTGGTAAGAACAGTGCCAAAAAACCATTGTACACACAAACCAAGACAATCCAAAAACCATGCTCTCCAAACCCTCTGAACTCGGGGTACAAGATAGCTTGCAAAGAACTTTCAAGGTCAATATTATTAACTTGCATTCAAGAATCAAGGTTGAGCTAAGGAGGCAAGGTTCTAAACCGTTTCCTTGGCTTTATAAACGATGGACTTACAGGAAAATTGAGGGGGAATTTTTTGGAGGGAGGACTGTTTTAGAAAAAAAGAGCAAAAGAGGTTAAAGGAAGGATACCTTAAACGTGGAGCAGCCGAAACTATTTTTATGGTATCAACACTAGCTTGTCTTAAGCAGGTAATTTTCGACATTAATTCTTATTTTTGAGCATTTTTTTCCTTTAAGTTTATGTAGTATTTACATTTGGTTTAAACAAATTTATGGGGTAAGAGTTTGAGTTTTATGGACTTGGAAAGGAGCATGGTTGGCCATTTTTGTTATGGCTGTAGCAAACCTGAAGCGATTATGGGCAACTAAGCTTTTTTTTTCTTTTTCTTTTTTAGAGAAGTTTGTCTATTTTATTTCAGTTCAGTCCTTACGTTCAAAGACAAGAATCACGTTGCACCACCACACTCCTCTGTACCACCACGTGCACAAACACTGATTCCGTTTTTCAATTTTTCTTATTTTATTCATAATAGGCAAAATTCAGTACTTGGGTTTCATTTTGTAGTGAGCAAGGGTTTAGATTCGTTAGGAATAATCCTACAATGGGTAATCATTTGGAATTTGGCTATAAATTGAGCCTCCATTTGCATGGATTAGGGGGAGGGAGGAAGCAGAGAAAATTTTGAAAGAAATTGGGTTTTAGGAGTCTCGAGCATTTTTCTTTTTCTGGGCTTCAATCATTAGATTAGGAAGAATTCTAGGTTTTAGAAGGGCTTCTTTGGTTTCACAGAAGGGATTCTTGGGATTTCAAAAAGGGTTTTGGCTTGAAAGAGAAAAGGTGATTTTTCTGGATTTGTTTTTTTTTTTTTTTTTTGAAGAATAAGTTTATGGGTTTTAAGCTAATCTGAATTTTCCAGTTCTAGTTCAAGGAAAGGAGTTTCTAGGTTTTAAAACCAGTTTCCAGGCGATTTAAGTGCATGCTATTTCGCTCTATCTTTGGCAAATCAGAAACGAAAAAGAAAAAACACAGAAGGAAAAGAAAAGGATTTGGAAACTGGAATTCAAAACAAGCAAAGGAGACAAACCCTTATATTGCCACCCATTCAACACGCCATTCTCACCCATATTCAAGCTTACCAGGTAAAAAACACATGCATTTCACATTATCTATCCCAATTCACTTTGATTGTACTCCTGTAGTGTTCAAAGACAAATGATGACAGTGACTTCATCACTGTCATCATGTAATACCCAGCGGTTTGCAACATTAATCCCCTTCTAGCCCTAATTCGTTATCGAATGAACACGAAGGTGACAGATCGTGAAAATTACAATTCTGGGTTTTTAGGATACATCATAAGAAAAATTTGAAAACTTTCAGTTTGTGGTTACTGTGGTTGGAATGGAAGAAGAAGAGAAAGAAGAGCGAAGAAAGAAAGAGAGCTAATCGGGCTAGGGAGGGAAATTTTTTGGGTTGGTGTTTTAGGACAGGTTTAGGCTGAGTTGAGCTTTGGGTTTGTTAGACTTAAGTTGGGCTGAAAGAGGCAGATTCGGGCTAGACTGTTATTAGTCTAGGCTTGATGAGTTTTGAGAGGAGTGGATTATGGGCTTGGGCTTAAATTTGGGCAAGTCTATAAAGAGTAAAAGCCTACCAGGCCTGGCCTAATGGGCCAAAGGCCTCAATAACCCTATTTTTCATCCCTTTTTTCCCCCCTCCTTAGTAAAGCAATCCTAATTTTTAATATATGCTTTTTAATTCATGCCTAGTTTAGATTTAATTTTTTAAATTATTGAGTTTTTTTTTTTTACATTTATTTATTCACTTAGTCAATGCTTAGTTTTTAGGTATCATTTTGATAAGTAGCTTATATAATTAATAGGTGGATGAATCGTCGAATCGTTTAATTTTTAGAGGTCGATGATGACTCTCACTAAAAAGAGGAAGAAGAAGAAGATAAAATGATATAAAAAAAAAAGAAAAGAAAAAAAAAGAAGATGACAAAAAAAAAAAAGGAGAGAGAAAAAAAGAGACATAAAGAAAAAAATAAAAGAAAAATATAGAAATACTAGATGAAAAATTAACAAAGTCTCATATCTAATCGGGACTGATATCAACCCAAATCGTTCTCAGTTTAGTAATTAGGTTGTTCTTTAAAATACGGGTTATGTGAAGACTTGAACTAAATTTGATGTTGAATCGACGAGATGTCCGATGGAAGGGTTCAATAATTAATTCAATATGATGCCACAAATAAAAATAAAAAACTTAGTTTGTGAATAAAAAATAAAACTTAGAATTTCTATTAGGATTAATCATGGTAAAAAATATAAATTTTTAGGAGCTAAAACTTAAAGACTAAATTAGACGTAGTATCTTTTATAAGAATATGATATCTTGGGTGATTAATATTTTCCTAAAAGTATAACAAAGTGTTTACACAAGAATCTCCGAATCGAGTGTCCCTTTTAAGTTTTTAGTTCCTTTAATACTAAGTGGAGACTCTAAAATTAATAAATAACTCATATTACCAAATAAACAAGATTTTTAATAAATAAATTATAAATATTAATTTTCAAAATTCCTGCGAATATTGAGTCATGACACATACAATGTCCTAATCATAATACGAATGGTTTACCTTTGACTGCATCTAAGAGGGAGACTTAATCATAATAGGTGCAGAAGCAAAATTTTTTAAAACATCAGGGACTATATTGAATAAATTATAAAAAAAGAACTAAATTGACAATAAAGTCAAATTTAGATGATTTCTTCAAGTTAACATGTTTAAACGTTGTAATTTAAGTTACCGTTAACACGTGCCATATCACATGACCGTCTCCCCCTCCTTATCCCCACTCACTACCAGCAAACTCTCTCTTAACCTCTCTTATCCATAAAATGTCCCTCCTCTCTCTCCAAACTCCACTTCTTTTCAAACCTCGGCACTCTCTCCCGTCCGAAAACGCCGTCGTTCACGCCTCTTCATCAGCAACTACACCAAAAAAATCCAGACGCAAAAAAGCACCGCAACCAAAAAAGCAACAAAGCGACAATGGCTCACCACTCTCAGTCGTCACTTCCGCGGAGGAGAAAAACCTCCGGTTCGCATTCATGGAAGAGCTCACGCACCGCGCGAGAAATCGTGACTCCAATGGCGTGTCGGATGTCATTTATGATATGATCGCTGCCGGTCTCTCTCCAGGGCCCCGCTCCTTCCACGGTCTCATTGTTGCTCATGCTCTTAATGGTGATCATGAAGGCGCGGTACTCTATCATCTCCCTCTCAAAATTCATATTTTTTTTTAACTTGAATTTTGAATATTCTGATTTTGATTTTGATGTTAAAATTTTTAAAAGAATTTTAATTAATTTATTTGTTTGTTTTAATTGTGGATGTGTTTTTGAAAATGTAGATGCAATCGTTTAGACGAGAACTGAGCACAGGACATCGGCCGTTGCACGAAACATTTATAGCTTTAATTCGGTTGTTTGGATCAAAAGGATTTGGTATTAGAGGATTAGAATTACTTGCGGCAATGGAGAAACTAAATTATGATATTCGGCGCGCTTGGATACTTCTTGTTGGTAAATTCTGATAATTGTAATTTATAGAATTTGTATAAGTTGTGTTTTATTTGTTTGTTGAGGTATTTATTTTTTTTGTGTGTGATTAGAGGAGCTTGTTAGGGGAAGATTTATGGAGGATGCAAATAGAGTGTTTTTGAAGGGAGCGAATGGCGGTTTAAGAGCTACAGATGAGCTTTATGATTTAATGATTGAGGAAGATTGTAAAGTTGGGGATCATTCTAATGCATTGGATATTGCTTATGCAATGGAGGAAGCAGGAAGGATGGCGACGACTTTTCATTTTAATTGTCTTCTTAGTGTGCAGGTGAGTTATGTAAATTTTGGTACGACATAGCTCCTTGTTTTTTAATTGGATTTTGGTTGTTGAATGGAATTTGTTTTTTGAAAGATTAATTGGTTTGTAGCATGTCTGTAGCTTTTGGGTACTTGATTTTAGTTGGAGTGCGTATTTGTGAGATTTATACAATGTGTTAATAGCTGGTGGCTGTAGGCTAGATGCTTTAAAGTGTAAAGAGCTTACTTTATTATAAAGATTCTGTTTTCTAGTAAAATTATCCTATTTTTTCATTTAGGCTATTGCGGAATACCTGATATCATGCAGAGTCGGTTTTCTAGGAACAATTTCTGTGCTAGACTGATATTTGTGTTTCTTTTTATTTAGGCTACTTGTGGAATACCTGAAATACCTTTTGCAACATTTGAGAACATGGAATACGGAGGAGAAGGTTTAATTTCTTTACTTTATGGATTTACATTTGGGATTTTAATTTTTTCTTATTTAAATCATTAAATTTGCCCATATCATATAAAGTATAAGGTTTCAGTCAGAGATCAATCGCAGATTGCATAGATGTTGGAGTACTTTAATTTTTTACTTCAGTAGAGAAGAGTGATATCTTTGAAGGAGTGCCCAGGCATACGAATGCTGCAGTCCCTTTGCTAAACTAGCTACCATCTTGGGCCTTGGCAATGTTGAGGGGTTCAGGATGTGAGGAGTTTGGTTTCTGTTAATTAATTTCTCGATCATGTTTACTTCTACCTTTTTTTAATTGCTAATCAAAATTTTCTGATTGTTACATAAACTGGAAATCAGTATTCAATTGAAGTAATCTTGCTTGTAGTTTACGAGGCCTTGAGACAACTTGTGGTTTTATGTTTGTTCTAGTAGTACTGATTTCTTTATGTTTGGATTCAATTTTTCACGAATACTCACAAGTGCCTTTGCAAACAGACTATATGAAACCTGATACGGAGTCATATAATTGGGTAATCCAAGCATATACCAGGGCTGAATCCTATGACAGGTAAATTCTATTGCACATCATATGCATTAGCCTTGTCCCTTCGTCAGTAACTGTCTTTTCTCCGAAACCTGGACCACTGTACAAGAAATCTACTTGGTGTTAGCTTTTGTAAAGATTCTAGGTTGATGTTCTGTGAGGAGCCACACCTTTCTTTGCTTTCAGGAATTCTCTCCTTACTCATGGGGAATCTCCAACTGATTGTTCCTCGCCTAATTGAGTTTTAATCAGCTAGTAAACTAAAGATTCCATGCATTATGCTTAGTTTGTGCTAGGAAATTTTTGAACTGGACTTTTATTGTGTGCATGTAGCCTGAAATTGAAATTTTATATTATCCCAAACTTTGTAATTTGTTGCATTATCTATTAATATCCCCATTGAATTTTAACAAGCTAGCATATTAAAGACCCCATGCATTGTCGTAGTTTCTGCCAAGAACTTTTTGCTTAGTTTATGCTAGAAAAGCTAGATTTTTTCTTACTTGTTTTGTAATTAATTATGTTTTCTTTTAGTAACCCCATTTTTTATGTTGGGATTTTGACATGAAACACAGAGTGCAAGATGTTGCTGAATTGCTTGGAATGATGGTTGAAGATCACAAGCGCATACAACCTAATGTGAAAACTTATGCGTAAGTTAAAATTTTTCCTGACAGAGGAAAGACTTTAAGCAAACATGTCAGGGTTCATCATATATATATATATATATATATTTGCTTATCACTGGATCATTTGACACTAATGTTTCTGAATTCAGTCTAATTTACTGTTCAATGTAAGGGTTCAAATCATTCATAAAGTATTGTTGTCTAAGACATCCGAATATTGGTTTTTATTGTTATCAGTATGGTGGTCTTTGGATGTCTGGATGCTGTCTTGCTGAAATGCAGCAGTTACAAATGGAGTTTGACTTAACTTTAAGGTGTTCGCAACTTTCTTTTTATGATTTTTGAATGGTGAGATAAGGCTCTTGATTTTCTTCAGTGGCCATTTATTTTCTCATACTGAAGAAACTTTGAAAGACAAATTAAAAACATTCCTTAATTGATGGAAAAGCAATTGGAAGTTGTATTTTCTCTATGGATTAATATCTTGGTTAGGGTTACAATTGAGAAGAGATGGTCTAAGTTTCTAACATTTCAGGTTTGATTTGGTAACTTTTCGATCAGGCTCAAGCTCGTTCATTAGTTCATGAAGACAAAAAATTAAGCAGATGGAAATTATTTTGACTAAAATAATTTATACTAATATCAATTTATATTTTATAAATAAATTTACTATATTCCTGTCTGTTTATAATTTTTTTATTAGAAGATAAAACAATTTTTTTAAGATTTAATTGGACTTTATCTCTTTCTTGATAGGTCATAGAACTTCTTAAACTTTTTTTCATATCATTTCTATGTTACCTTGGAATGCATACCTGGATTAAATGTTCATACATGCAGTTGTGTGTGTTTGATGGTAAAAAATTCACATGGTAACTTCCATAGCATTGTACCTCAATTTCTTTTCCTATGATATATAACATCATACCTGCATGTTCAGGCTGTTGGTAGAGTGCTTTTCCAAGTACTGTGTTGTTCGTGAAGCCATTCGGCATTTTCGTGCACTTAGAAACTTTGAAGGAGGAACAAAAGTTTTGCATAATGAAGGGAAGTTTGGGGACCCACTTTCTTTGTATCTTCGAGCTTTATGTCGAGAAGGTATGCACATGCATATACAAAATATCTTCTCAATCGTTTTTTATGCAATAGTGTTATCGACTTATAAATACACGTATACGCACACAAATGGGCACACATATTTTGCAGTGAAATATTGACATTTTAAATATCTTCTTATGTCATTCATGCCCTTCTTTTTCAGATATTTTTCAATAGAATCGCTTGAAAAATTATGTAGCATTTACCTTTTATTGTCATTCTTTACTTGATTTATGCCCCTTCTTTGTGCTTTATTGTAATTGACAATAATAATGGGTAGAGAGTGCGAGAAAGAGTTTTTGCAATTTGATGGAAGTTAATGAGCAACTAATATGCATATGATTTAATTGAATATATCCTCAAAGAATTGTGTTGTTATGCTGATTTGGGATCTTGATGGCGACAGCCTATTTGTGGTAGTTTGTCTGAACTCTTGTGTCATTTCCTAAGTAATATGTTTTTGAAGAAATTTTAGCTCTAGGTTATAATTTTTTTTTTTTTTTAAAAAAAGGTCTACCAACTAAACCAAATAATCAAATTCCAAGGATTGTGATTTTTGTGATTTGGCACAAGGCCTATATCTATTGACAAGCCTTGGTTCAATCCGCTTTAATAGACACGTAATTCTTTCTTTCAGAGTTCTACGTCAATCATATACAGAATTTATAATTCACTGTAAAGTGAACATTCATGGTTGGATGACTATAAGATAGCCTGATAAATGTCCATAAATATAAAGCAATTTGTGCATGATATGCAAATTCCAAATTCCCTACCTTTTTCTTAGATTACCATTTCTTGAAACCTTTCCATGTTTTTAGCCAAAGCACTGGAACCTTGAACATTTGGGTTTCTGGTAGTTTTAGGCAGAATGATGTTTTAGAAGATCATATTATGTGATATGCAACAACATGATTCATATGTAATTCCATACTTTATAGGTTCTTTGATATATTGAATTTCCATCTATTGATCTCTGTGGTAAGAGCTAATAATTTGCATCCTTGAACTATATATGTTTAGATTGCATAACCTAAAAATAATTTATAAGATGGTATCCTTTTTGAATCAGGTAGGATTGTGGACTTGCTAGAAGCTTTAGAAGCTATGGCCAAAGATAATCAACCCATTCCACCAAGAGCCACGATATTGAGCAGAAAATATAGGACATTAGTTAGCTCGTGGATCGAACCTTTGCAAGAAGAAGCTGAACTTGGATACCAGATTGATTACGTTGAGAGGTGTGCTTATTAATAAACCAAAGGCAGTTGCTTCAAGTCTGTTATGTTTGTTTTATTGTTATTGACAGACAAATACACACATCCACGCATCTATATGGTGGGATGCAACATATGTTGCATGTTTAAGGGCATGCATTGCTAGTCCTAAGTCTCCTAGAAAATCTGTTTTTGTGCTTTCTTTTCTTTTTGTTTTTTGTTGTTTTGATGAATGAAAATCTTAATTAATCGAAACAACTTCAGCAAAAATGTCTGCTACAAATCTGTACAGATACAAAGTAACAATACAATCAGAAACTAACTGAAGAACAATACAAGACTTATTGCAATCCCCAGTTACTGCAGTCTGCACATACCACTTTATCTTGAACAATCTCAATTGCACATACTCGATAATTTCATCCACCAGTACATTATATCAGCTTCACTACCCCTCTGTTTCTTTCCTTCCAGATGATATAGATGCAAGAACACCATTGCTAACCTTAGCAGCATTGAGATGAAACACTTCTTCTGCAAATAAGAAATGGCCCACCACAGCCCAGATTTGCCAGTCTCGCACTTGCTTAGAAAGACCACTTTCCTGTTTTTGTGCTTTCTTATATTTGCTACAACCGTTTCCTATCAGTTTCCTTGTACATATTAAGGAATGGAGATTCCTATATGCGTTTCCCAACTGTTAATCCATTAGGGATGCATTGACTATTGTTGAACATAATTCAGGTACGTAGTTGAGGGCGGGCTTACTGGTGAGCGCAAACGTTGGGTGCCTCGAAGAGGAAAAACTCCTCTAGATCCCGATTGTGATGGATTTATATACTCAAACCCTATGGAAACCTCCTTTAAACAAAGATGTCTTGACGATTGGAAGGCTCACCATCGAAAGCTTTTGAAGATGTTACGGAATGAAGGACTTGCAGCTTTGGGGGATGCGTCTATATCTGATTACCTAAGAGTAGAGGAGAGATTGAAGAACATAATCAGAGGTCCAGACCGCAATGTTCTAAAGCCTAAGGCTGCTAGCAAGATGTTAGTATCTGAGTTAAAGGACGAACTAGAAGCGCAAGGTCTACCAATTGATGGAACTAGAAATGTTCTTTATCAGCGTGTGCAAAAAGCAAGGAGAATAAACCGTTCTCGTGGTCGACCTCTCTGGGTTCCACCTGTGGAGGAGGAAGAAGAAGAGGTTAGTCAATCATTATAGTTTTTCTCCTTTCTCCTTTTATTCTCAACAGTATTATCCTGGACCAGAAAAAACGATAAGATAGAATGTTGCCTCTTTCTATTTCACGTTTCTCCAATGCTCATCTAAAACCTTTATTCAGTTGTATATCTGATATTTTAGGCAATGTTTTCTCCAATTTGGTTTCATTTGGTCAAATATGGATGTAATTTTTCTGCAGGTTGATGAAGAGGTAGATGAACTAATTTCACGAATCCAGTTGCATGAAGGAGATACAGAATTCTGGAAGCGCCGATTTCTTGGAGAGGGTTTTAATGGAAATAATGTTAAACCAGTGGACATGGATACATCAGAACTTCCAGAGGAGTTGGATGAGGAGGACGACGATGATGATGTAGAAGATGCTGCAAAAGAGGTCGAAGATGAGGAGGCTGACGAAGAGGGGGAAGTTGAAGTAGAAGTGGAACAAACCGAGAGTCAAGATGAGGACAGAATTGCCAAGGCCAAGGAAGCTGAGGCTAAGAAGCCTCTTCAAATGATTGGAGTCCAATTGTTGAAAGATTCTGATCAAACTACTAGAATGTCAAAAAAATCAAGAAGAAGAGCTGCTCGACTGGCTGTAGCGGTATGAGAATCCATCATGATGAGCTGCCTTTTTATTTCATTTTTTTTCTTTTCATTTTATGCAGCTTTATCAAGTTGATTGTCTTATAGCTTTTGAAAGTTCTCTTTTTATATATATAAAAAAAAATCTCTTAGGTTAGTCCTTTCTATGGAGATTGACATCAAGCATTCCTTGTGCGTAAGGTTTCTTGTCAAAGGAAATCTATGAACTTGATCAAAACATTTTGCTTGATAGGTTTTATGTACTGTTAAAGGTTAAATTAATGTACGCATAAAAAGAATAAATATTTATTATTTCACATGATAGGATGACGATGATGATGACTGGTTTCCTGAAGATATAACTGACGCTTTCAAGGAAATGAGGAACAGGAAAGTTTTTGATGTGGAAGACATGTATTTAATAGCTGATGCTTGGGGTTGGACATGGGAGAGAGAAATAAAGAGGAGGCCTCCCCAGAGGTGGTCACAAGAATTGGAAGTTGAGTTGGCAATTAAACTAATGCTGAAGGCAAGTTCCTAGAATATCTTTTGCTTTTTTTTTTTTTTTTCTAGTTCTCCTTTTGTTAGTCTGTGTAAATTATTCCTTGGTATACACCTGAATGTAACACGTTAGGTACATCTACCAAATTTCCTTGTTTCCAGGTCAGTTGTACAAAGATTACCAATGTTTTCACTCTTCTTTTGGTGATTTTTGTTGGTTGTTTACCATCATCCTATGTGGAATAAAAGTACTGAATTATGTTTCAGGTCATAGAGTTGGGTGGAACACCCACTATTGGAGACGCTGCCATGATATTGCGGGCGGCTATAAGGGCTCCTATGCCTTCAGCTTTTTTGAAGATCTTGCAGACAACACACAGCCTTGGTTATGTATTTGGGAGGTAAGAACCTGTGCACTATAAGAAAATGTAGATGAAATGGGCCTTTTTTGAGCTAAAGAGTTTTGTAGTACATCAAATAAGTGTTCAAATATTTGTTCTATCTACAAACTGGAATGTCCTTCCAACAATTTTTGTTTCTAATCTGATCACATTATCGTCTATTGCAGTCCTCTATATGACGAAACAATCTCCTTGTGCCTAGACCTTGGGGAACTAGATGCTGCAATTGCAATAGTTGCAGACATGGAGACTACTGGAATTACGGTCCCAGGCCAGACCCTTGACCGGGTAATTTCTGCTAGACAAGTGCCTGACAATGCCACTGATGAGGCATCACCATAGCTGCAACCATTTACTCCCATCTTTTTAGTTCTATATTCTGCTTGCCAAATTACAAGCAGCACTCATGATGTGCCTTTGCCACCGTCATATTTTGGTGCTGCAAAATTTTCTTCCTCGATTTTGGCAACGGAGCACACTAGTGTAAAACTAACACATCAACTACGAGCATAAATTATCATTGCATCAAAGGAAAATAACACTAGAAAAATTTTATAATCATTATCATGCCTCGCAAACGCATGGATGCATGTATATACGTACATGTGTTTGTATGTATGTATGAGTGTGCGCAACTTTAAAAATGAAGATGCTTTTTGTGCCCCGTTTTGGCCTTACAGCCTTGATTTGCAAATTGCAATCAAGTGGGGGGCCAATAACCTATTGTAATAATAACACGATTAGACGACGTGCACTCAATAAGTGCCGGTGGGAACCAAATTTGCTTAATGAAGACGTTATGAAATCCATGCTTTACCCAGAAGCAAGTGAAAACCAGAAGAGGAGTTATTGTTTTGTCTTAATTTATATATAGAATCAGAAAGAAAGAAAAACAAAACAAAATCATAGGCTAAGCACCCAATGGAGTGATGCATAGGATTAGGACAAAGCATTTCAAAGGATATCTCCTCCACCTAAGCATACCAGTTCATGTTAATAATGGAACATGAAATTTTGGTGCTTAAATTTCGAGTCAAAACATGTTTGAGCTACAGTCGTCGAATCTCTGTTCAAGTTCCATGGATCAGTGGTTATTATTATTATTATTATTATGTAATTAATGATTTGCTTTGATTGGAGGGAAACGATGCATCGAATTTTGATGTTTAACCGGGGGGAAAAAAAACAGAATATCCAATTTATGAATTTATGATCTACTTATCCGTGTCATGATTAAGTTTTTTGGGACCAGACTCACCTCGTCTGAAGGCATTGATGGTTGTACTAAAGCTATCAAATTAATTTATTACTACAAATATTTTATGTTTCATTTTTTGCTTCTAAGGTTTTTTCTATGCTTTGAAAATGAAAAAAAGAAACTATTGGACGTAACAATTTATGTTCTCCTCATGTTTTAGAAGAGTTAGATTCTGATATTATATCTTAAATTTAGCCATCAATATTCCAATAATTAATAATTTTAATAAACATGCTCTATATATTGTCTTTTTCAAATTGATGGTGATGGATATTGGTCGAAAAATTATTTAATTATTTTTCATAGTACAAGGATGAATTAATTAGATTCGATAAACTATAAGGAGTAAATTATAATTAACTCAAAGAAATCTGAATTCCATTTCGAACTTCAGAAAAATGGCTTAACTCGCTGGTAATCAAAGCAATGGCAGTAACGTAAATAGACCAACCAGCCATGTCCAATTCAGAAAATCAGGGTGCAGTGTTTAAGCTAGTAAGTGGGCGAGTCATGTCGACTCAGTTTGAGACAAGAACAAATTTGAAATCCTATCCAACTCACCTAATACCTTCAAAAGATCTCTCTCATTGTTTCTGCAACAAGAACACATAGAATGCTAATGCTGATCTCTTTCTAGGTTTTCTTTGAAACCCAAAGAAGCCATTAATAATTACTAGTAAAATAGAAAGAACAGAAATGGCAGTTCCAGTAGAAGAAGCAATAGCAGCTCTCTCTACCTTCTCTCTTGAGGTATCCTACCTAATTTATCTTGCTTTCCAAAATAAAATGCTATAATATAATTTTTTTAAAAAGATTTATTATATTTTTGAGATTTTAATTGCTTCTCTCTTTTAACTTGTTGAGGATCTCATTCTGTTTATTAATGGCTTCTTCTTCTTCTTTCTTTCTTTTTTTTTTTTTTTTGAATCGTGTGAAAGGATGAGCAAGCAGAGGTGCAGGGACCTGGCGTTTTGGTTTCATCTGAGAGAGGAGCAACTAACAGTCCAGTTGGTAATTTTTTGTTTTTTATAATTTCTTTGTTCTGAAACTCTTGATGCTAATTATTTGGTAAAATTATGGTTTTTATGGAACCATAAAAATTGTAGTAACATGAACTATTGATTATACTCCAATTTAGAGACTTATGGGGTTGTGTTGAACGTAAGAATTGAATTTATCATTGCTTATTGCTTAAGAGGCTTAGGGAAATGGTTAACAATGTGCATGAGCTCTTTTGTTATTGTTAATTACTTAGTAAGGAGGGATGGATAAGAATTCATGTGGCAAGCTCTGAACTAGTTCGGGATTGAATTGAGTTGAGTTTCTGTTTATAGATCGGTGTAGTGAAAGTTGAGTTCTGTTGTTTGTGCTACATGGTGCTGTAGATGTTCTACAAAAAATCTTTAAATGTTCATACCTTATGGTATTCTTGTATCTTGTAAATGCTGAATTTGATGGTTTTTTTTTTTTTTTTTTGTCACTGATGTTAATGCATGATTAGAGTTGTGCGTGGATTTGTGCTGCATAAACATGTTCTGTATGTCTGTATGTTATGTCTGATTTTGTTGTTTATATTAAACATGAAGTATAGCTCTTATGTTGCATGTGTGCCCTCCAGGATTGTTTGTGTCTGTCCATACCACAACTTTCTCCCTCACACTCTCATTCTTTTTTTCCGTAGAGTACAGTGATGTTTCTGCATACCGCTTATCTCTATCAGAAGACACAAAAGCTCTCAATCAGCTGGTATGTGGCTTTTGTTTTCTCTTTTTTGCCTTGCCTTCTTTGTAAGCACAAAACTTACACAATTACACTGTTTGAGATAGTTAGCTTGCTATGAGTGTAATTGCATTTGTTTTTATAAATAATTTAATTGCATTTGTTTAGTGGTTTTTGATGGTAATTGCTGCAACGTGTAGAATGCACTTATCCAAGAGGGGAAGGAGATGGCATCAGTGCTTTATACATATCGAAGCTGCATCAAAGCACTTCCTCAGGTCTATTTTGGTTTCCCTTCTAATAAACATAACCAAGGATAACTGATTCACATGGGTTGATATTTTTCTTAGCAGGCTCTATCCTCTTTATGGTAGATATCTTTTTTTTTTTTTTTTTGCTGCTTTATTTTGTATGCTTATGCCCAAGGTTGTGCCCTTGGCACATTTAATAGATATAGCTTGTGGCAATATAAACAAAATAAGAAGCATTTTTGTTCCACTTCCTAATGAAGAGAAAGAAAAGAATAACTACTCCCTGACTATATATATTGGATTGCTAGTGATTGCAGGCAGTACAAAACTCTTAATGGTAGAAGCTACACTATTTGACATAGCATTATGTTTCCGCCATAGCTAATCTGGCAACTTATTGTATACACAGCATAGCTGTATCTCCCAATAGGATAAAAAAGACTACAGTTGTTATATGAAACTGTGTAAATAAAATGAATTCAAAACTTACAATTTGAATGCATCAACCTGATGGCCCTCAGTATAGGTCCTTGAACAAGCAATAGCTCATCAAGCTTCTCATGCCATCAGATGCTCGACTTCATTGCAGTCTGGCGGATTTTGCTTTTGATGATTTGTGGCTCAAAGAAGCTTTGAGAACCTGGCTTTATGACTCTTTTGGACTGGCTATTGGGTGCTAGGCTCATGGTGCACCCAGATTTCATTGCATTCATCTGTAGTTGATATAGCATGAAGCTTCCCTATCATTGTAGCTTGATATGATATTATGTGCTCTGGACTTTACCGTTTCATGTTTGACCTGTTTACATGTGGGATTTTTGGAATCCTGTACTGCATTGATGTTCTTAGTAAGGCATTTGAAACATTCAATTAAAATATGGGGTAAGGATAGTTTTATATTTGGAGATTCAAAAGTATGCACAGTGCTCGATCAGATTAACATGACAGTGTCCATGAAGCAAGTCTTCAGCAATTAGTGGGCATGTTGGACAAATTGAAATGAGCCATTTCCTAGTGTCTATTATTGCAACATGTTTACTTGATCCGTTTCTTTGTTAATGAGTATTTAAATATCAGTAAATGACTAATGAACTTAAACAGCTATATATTATGTCCAAAAAAGTTGAGTCATAGATAGCCAATTTTCGGTTTATGATAACATAAATTGAATTCTTTGTCCTTGAAAGACATGTTACTGAATCACTTAACTTTCCAGTTCTCCACTTTGCTCATAAACACACATCTGACATGTATACAATGTGGCAGCTTCCTGAATCTATGAAGCACAGTCAGGCTGACTTGTATCTAGAAACATATCAAGTTTTGGACTTGGAGATGAGTCGTTTGCGTGAAATCCAGCGATGGCAAGCATCTGCTGCGTCGAAAGTATATGATCTCTTACCTTATTTTCCTTAGTGTTTACAGTATTATACCCTGTGTGCTTTCAAGCTCATGCTAAATTTTCACTGTTGCCATGTCATTTGCTGATGCAGCTAGCAGCTGATATGCAGCGATTTTCTAGGCCTGAGAGGCGCATTAATGGCCCTTCAATAACTCATCTCTGGTATATGATTGCTTTTCCTCTTCGTTTAACCTCAATCACCTTCTTTCCTTGTATTGCTATTACCTCATTTTGAAGTGCTGAATGTGCTTCAAAGTCAGCTCCTCGACACAATCTGAACATTCTCCTCATTTTGAGAGATCTTAAAATAAAAATGATGAACAAATGAATCAATGCTTCTTTCATTAACTTGTTTTTATTCCAGGTCCATGTTGAAGTTGCTTGATGTTTTAGTTCAACTTGATCATCTTAAAAATGCCAAGGCAAGCATACCTAATGACTTCTCATGGTACAAGAGGTATGAAAATTATGTTGCCATACCTAGGTTACATGCCCTTTATGATGTTTGACATGGATCCTCCAACTTCTTTTCATCTTTTTTTTTCCCCTTATTTTCTTTCTTTCAAACTGTTGAAGTCATTTGGATGAGAACTGGCAGTCATTTATTTTAATTTCTCTATCTATTTTGATGGTCCTCATTTGAACTTATCAAGACAGACAATATCTTTAGCATAATAGGTTTAGTGATTTTGGGATTTGCCATAGTCTTATTTACTCGGATTACCAAAGCCTTTATAACCACTTTGGATCATGCATAGAAATAGATCGCTAAAATTTCTCATCTTCATAATCTTTGAATAATTTCTGCAATACATACATGAGAGTGTGGAATGTCTCAAAGGAGTTCTCCATCGAACAAAGTAGAAACTGAAAACAAGTATCTTAGACTATGAACAAGTGGGCCTCCGTTTAACATAAGTTATAAAACATATATTTACACTACTCTAGTCCTCAAGTTTTATAGCTTGAGCATCTTGTGGTCCTCCTTTCCCTCTGCAAATATGTCTAGTCAAACTTCTTGGAATCTGAACTTTGTTAATTTTGCAAATTTATTACATGGATGGGTAAAACTCAGTGGCAGCGAAAAATTTTTCTAGTGAAATTTGAGCTTGTGTGATGTGAACTTTGAATGTTCAAAATTTATGCCTTTAATCATTTTTTTCACCAGTTCTTTACACACTAAATGGTGAATAGTTAGTTTTTGCTCTTAATTCATCTGAACTGTTCTCTTGTATACATATCTGTTTAACAAGTGTAGCTGGTCAACCTGCTAAATCCAGCTTTCCAAATGATACATGTTTCCAGTCTGACTATACTTGTTGGTTGGCTGTAAATTCTTACAGTTTCTTTTTTGACATTTTCCAGTTTTTTTTTTTTTTTTTTTTAATAGAATGATCGGCTGGCAGTTTTGCTATGCAGTCTAACACTGATTCTTTCCTTTACTCCTTTCTGATTTTGACAGGACATTCACCCAAGTTAGTGTTCAATGGCAAGACATTGATTCAATGAGGGAGGAGTTAGATGATTTACAGGTGTGAGAACTTTTCTTGTGTGGCCTAATCTGTTCTGAATGATATTTTACTGTCTCTGTTTGTTGAAGTACCTTATCAGTCTTAAATAATATGCATATGTATATTTATATGTATATGTATATGTATTGTGGCAATGTGCTGATGTGATATCTGCTATTCTTTCACTGTTAATCGGATGATCTGATCAATATTAACTACTTATAACTTAACTGCTGCAGATATTCTTAAGCACAAGGTGGGCAATCTTATTGAACTTGCATGCTGAGATGTTTCGGGTGAACAAGTATCCATACTAATTATTGAATACCTTCCAGTGTGACAGCATGGGAAGAAATACTTGACTTTCTTTTTCACACAAAATTTACCCTGTCTACCATAATTTTTTTATGATGCCATTACTCTATTTAGAATATCATCTGTCTTGCTGCAAAATCATACTTGGTATTAGATTGTGGTCCTTGATTCAAAAAAGTGTAGAAGATATTCTTCAAGTTCTGATAGTCTTTGCTGTTGAGTCATTGGAATTGGATTTTGCACTTTTATTTCCGGAGAGGCACATTCTTATACGTGTTTTACCAGTTCTTGTTGTCTTAGCAACATCATCAGAAAAGGATAGTGAGTCACTGTACAAGAGGGTAAAAATCAACAGGCTGATAAATATTTTTAAGGTATTCTGTTCATATCTCTTGGTGCTCTAGTAATCTAAAATTTTATATTATTTCTTCTTACTTGTCTGAAATATAGTCATTTAATTGATATTTTCTAATTTGTTTGTGATATGTGGCAGAATGATCCAGTCATTCCTGCCTTCCCTGATCTTCATCTTTCTCCTGCTGCAATCTTAAAAGAGTTGTCCATTTACTTCCAGAGATTTTCTGCACAAACTCGTCTTCTCACCCTTCCAGCACCTCATGAGCTCCCACTTCGGGAGGCACAAGAATATCCTCTACATTCTTTTTTATCTTGCATTTCTTCGTTATATCATTATCTTTGGCAAAATAGTTATGCACTTCTCTTCTTTGTGATTGTTGGGACAATTTGGACTTGATTAGTTGCTGACCATTAATACTTTGTTAGATCCATTTTGCAGTTAGAATAGTTACCGTTCCTTGTTACATGCTGTGGAAACTGTATGTATAATCTTTGAAGCCTTAACATGGTGTACTTATCAGAGGCATTATCTCATCGTTAATCACATAGGAACTATTCGTGCCGAGCATGATGATTTCACAATTCGTTTTGCTTCATCGTTGAATCAGGTGCTAACCCCCTTTCACCCTAAATTTTCCCCTCCCTATATATAATTTTATAAGCTTTATGATTAGCCTTTTAATTCGTGTTTCCTATCTTTTCAAACTGTGTACACAGCTATTGTTATTGAAGTCAATAGATGGTGCAGATGTTGACTGGTGCAAAGAAGTCAAGGGAAACATGTATGATATGGTTGTTGAAGGTTTCCAGCTCTTAAGCAGATGGACTGCACGAATTTGGGAACAATGTGCTTGGAAATTTTCTCGCCCATGCAAAGATGCAATTCCTTCAGAACCAAATGGAACTTCAGAATCATTTTCTGACTATGAAAAGGTATTATAGCCTCTATTTGTGATTTTGTTATTGGGTTGATCGAACCTTATCAATCTTGCTCAGCATGTATTTGATATGCTGAAGGCTGAAGCTCAGTCAGCAATGCTCACTTGAGGAATCCAACAACTTAGAACTAACTCAGAAGGATTTATGTGGGGCCGTACTTGTGATAAACAAATTTAAAATATTGCCTTGTATAGCATACACATTAGCTAAAAATTTCAAGAACTATTGCCTTGACTCATTACCATTTTATTGTTTACTTGACTGAACGTATTCCATTGCCAAATTATCTTGCAGGTGGTACGATATAATTACAGTGCTGAGGAGAGGAAAGCTCTTGTTGAGCTTGTTAGTTACATAAAAAGTGTTGGATCACTGATGCATCGGTGTGACACATTGGTAGCTGATGCCTTATGGGAAACAATACATGCTGAAGTCCAAGATTTTGTCCAAAACACATTAGCCAACATGTTGAAGACTACCTTTAGAAAGAAGAAGGACCTGTCAAGGTGGGCACTTTAAGTCAGTATTTTGTCATTTAAATTTAGGGCTAGAGTTTCACAAATTTCTACTGTTCAAATTATTTGTTTTCTGCTGATGTGTGTTTAGGCTAGTGGTGCTGTTCCCTACAAATTAGAGGATTGGGGGTAGAAATTGGGTTTGAGTCCTGCACTTGCTACCTTAAGAACAACAGTATTATTTTTCTTATCCATCAAAAGTTAAGGGTCCATTATCTTCATTATTATGTAGTATGTGCAATTAGTGTAGTATTTTTTATGTAGTATGTGCAATTAGTGTAGTATTTTGTTTCTCAAATGATAAAAGAATTTGAATAGATAAAAAAGAGTGGAAAGTTACCAGTGGTGGAAAATAACTTGTTTTAGAAGTATAAAACAAGAATTCCCCATTTCTGCTGAACACAGGCTAAAGACACTTCTCTAAAAGCCTCTGACTCGGTACACCATAAAATGGTTAGCTAAGCAAATCTGTCCTGTTATAGTTTTCTGGAAAATAGACCGATTATTACCAAGCTCTCCACGGGCATCCTATCATTTCTGACATAGCATGTCTTCACCCTTGCAATCTGTAACCCTCCTCAGGCCCATAAAGTTTATTAGTAACAATTCTGCCACGCATCATTGTGATACCATCGCTCGCATAGACATCGGAAAATGTCAATTGCAATGCTATTTCATGTTAGACATTACAGTCATAGAGAATCTACATCCAACAACATTCTCTATTTTTCTTACTAATTATATGTCCAGACAAACTGTTGAGATGTTTTAACTTGCTAATATAGATAAAATCTGCTTCTAGATGGTTTTCACTTAAATGCTTCAACTGCTTATTTATTTTTTCCAATTGGTGACTTTCAGGATTCTTTCTGACATGCGGACTCTTTCAGCAGACTGGATGGCAAATACAAGCAAGCCTGAATCTGATTTACAGTCACATGGAGGTGATGAAAGTAAAGGGAACATCTTTTATCCAAGGCCAGTGGCACCCACAGCCACGCAGGTTTTACTCATTTTCAACTCTCATTCATGCTTTATATTTCCTGCTAATATATAGCAGGTATAGTTCTTAGTATATAACAATGTCAGATAAGTGGAGCTCTGGAAGAAAACCTCAATGGTCTGGTTCTCAGTCACACTGTGAAGCTTTGGAAGACAAAGTGATTGAGCAAAGATTAAGGCATATTATCACTTATAAAACATTTGGTTAAGTACCAAGGAGATTAATTACAAAGTTGTGTTCTCAGATGTTTGATGAAGGTTTTTATTTCGAAGATAGGCAATTCTCTTCTTGCATCACATCATGCTGAGCCCCATGACATTATATACAAAATGAATTCTGTGAGGTTGAGTGGTCAAGATAGTCGCAGTTTCAAGAGCACTCTCTACTTGATAAGCAATAAACGGTGTTCATTATCAGCTCAAAGGAGGACAAGCAAATGAATTGGGTCTCAAGAAGGGAACTGACACAACCAAGTTCTTGCACAAACAGGATACAGTTCTCCCTTCCCATATAAAAAAAAAAGAAAAGTTCTTGTATAATCTTCTGATGAATTTCCAAACAGTAATCCGTGCTAACCTCTTTCCTTAGACATCAGTTTCATCGTTGCACCTCGGACTTCAAACTGATAATCAAAAGCTTTTCCAACCAACGAAAAAAGAGCTTTTTAGAATGTATGAGTTTTTAAGTACAACCACCAGTTTTCAGAGGGTGTTTCTGGATAGACCATAATGAAACTACTGAATAAATGTTAATGTGAATTTGTGATCTGATGTAACATTGAATCCTTTATCCATCTCATTTTTGGTCTGTGGTTTCCTGTCTTCACTCATAATAGTTGAATCCACTCAATTTTCTATACTAATACATTTGTAGGTCTAAGTGGCACCAATTCAGAAGGAACTGCAGATATTGTTAAACGAGGACCAGAAATAGAGGAGTTGGATTAAGGTAGAATGTGGAATAGGACTGGAAATTTCAAAAATTGGGTTGAGGTGGTAGAGGAGGATATAATCAGAAGACTTCAGTGTTTAAGGGGGTGAAATCTCCTTCCAAACTTTTTATTTTGGTCATGTTGCCCAATTCTTTGTCTATATTTTGGGCATCGTCTTCCTGTGGACAAAAAATGTCTCCTGGCTTCCAAGTCCACGGTCCACCAGATTGATGTTATAGACAGTAATTTCTCAGTGCAAATCTATTGCCATATCTCTATGACAATTTTGCATGTTTCAGTCAAACAAGCCATTTTTCATTTTTAACGTAATTTATTATGAGTTATAGGTGTCTTATGCAACTACACTATGCATGCCTTCTGTTGCCTTCTTTGTTGATCACGTAATTATGTTTTGAATGAAGAGTTTGGATTAAAATATTGTCAATACCTGCATACATATGTTCATACTTAATTAAGATCATCAGTTTTCTTTGTTCAGGTCCATTGCTTGCAGTTCTTAATATATGAAGTGGTGTCTGGTGGTAATCTTCGGAAGCCTGGTGGACTCTTTGGCAATAGTGGGTCTGAGATTCCTGTAAATGATTTAAAGCAGTTGGAGACCTTCTTTTACAAGCTTAGCTTCTTCCTGCATATATTGGACTATTCAGGTAATTTTCTTATCTAATTGCTCGTCTTTAGCAAAAGAAGGGATCAATCTTTTTAGAGCCAACAATAAGTGAAAATGACAATTAGTCACAATGGTCTGAGCTTTTATAACAGTCCCACTTAAGAGGTCTATAAAGACTTTTTCCCTGATATTTTGGTGCTAAGTTTGGCTGCAAACTTCTTTTGAATTCTTTTATGTGAATCCTTTTCATGAAAAACTATGAATGGCCACGGCATTCTGTGGACAAATAAACTCATAGTAAGCCTAGGAATCAGAAGATTCGTTACACGGTATGATGTATCCTTAAAATTCTCCAAAAAATTAAAAAAAAAAAAAAAAAAAGAAAAAGAAACAAGGATTTCTTTGCAGTGGTCTTCAAGATCAAGAAGACAATTGGAATCATAATGTCATCCATTTGATATCTTGGTTTGTGGTCCATAGAGCATATGAATAGGAGCATGCCACATAATTGACCCCTTATAGGAGCCCTTAGTTAGTTAGCCTTGTGGACCCCAAAAAATAAAGAAGAGAGAGAAAGCTTCTTCATTGGAGACTCTTTGCTTTTCATAGTATCGAAAATGCTAACTTGGCATATTGGCAGCATATCCATATTCATGATGCTTCTGCTTCTGCTTCTTTGATGATAATGTAACTAATTGTGCCCCTGTTAGTGTTTTATTGGTTCAAGCTAGGTGGAAAATGAAGTATATTGTCCTTTTGCTCCAGTAATACATACTGAAGTTTAACAATTCTGAAAATGATTGCAGCAACTGTGACAACTTTGACAGATCTTGGTTTCTTATGGTTTAGAGAATTTTATTTGGAGTCATCTCGTGTTATTCAGGTAAGAAAGTAGGATTTCTTTTGTGGACCTGCTATCGCTTATGAAACTCTTTTACACATGGGTTGAACCATTCTACCTTACTAAATTGATGTTGTTGAGAATTAATTTGTTTGGCAGAGTTTTATTATGGCTGAATTGTTTTATTAACTTGAAAAAATTTTCTTGCTTATGTTTAGCCTAAATTGAGTGAATCATCATCATTGTAGAATACTGAGGAAGTGATTGACTTGGTATTAGGGACTTAGTTGAATTTCTGAACTCTTGGTTGGGAACTTGAGTCATTTTGCTTCGTTGTTTAATTCTTTTTTATCTATTTTTCTTGGTGTTTGAATTTTGTTGGCTGGGAAAGTTGTTCAGTTTGATCCCGCTCCTGATTAAACGAAATTCTATTACTTGGGTTTGCATCTGGTCATGTATTGGTCCTGATTTTTCCTTCTGTTGAAGTACCTGAAATGACTTCTGGTGGCTATACATGGGTTTAGACAATTATTAGGAAGATGGTAGGATATAGAAAGCAGCATGTGCAAGCTATTTTTACTGGAGAGAATAAACAAGTAGGTCGTTAATATTTCATAAACATGTGGGAGTTCAGTTTAAATATATAACAATGAAATTGTAATTCTCTCTCTCTATTTTTTTTTTTTTTCCCTTTCATTCACATTTGTATTCATTATATTGCTTTCCTGATTTGTGGAAACTTCTTTGTTATCCACATGCAGTTTCCTATTGAATGCTCTCTTCCCTGGATGCTGGTGGATCATGTGCTTGAGTCCCAAAATGCTGGTCTTCTTGAAAGTGTTCTGATGCCATTTGACATCTACAATGATTCAGCTCAGCAAGCTTTGGCAGCGTTAAGGCAGCGATTCCTCTATGATGAAATTGAGGCCGAGGTATATTATATTTTAGCATTTTCTAGGGCTAATTATTTTGCATCTCTTGTTGGGAATATATGCATGTTCAATTTGTCATTTGATAAATGGCAGTGCCTGTTGAATTCCCTGCCCATGTCCCAGTTTTATTATTTGGAATCTTCATTCTAACTCAGTGATTGTAAGTTTTTATAGGTGGACCATTGTTTTGATTTATTTGTTTCAAAACTCTGTGAAATTATTTTCACGTATTACAAGAGTTGGGCAGCAAGGTACAAGCTTTCTCTTCTCTCTATAGTAACATGTGCTACTGGAAATACAATGAACTAAATCATCTATCTTGTTGATTTTCCAAATTCTGTAGTGAACTACTTGATCCGTCATTCCTCTTTGCCTTGGACAATGGGGAAAAATATTCTGTACACCCTATGAGGTTCACTGCACTATTTAAGATGACTAGAGTGAAGGTAAAAGTATTGTTTTTCACATTTTGTCAATGATTCGCTGCATCTTTGGTCACTGATTTGCTTGGTCCACATTTGTCTTTGCAAGTTATCATTACCTTCTCTCACCTCCATGGCAATTTCTAATAATAGCCTGAAATTTGAAAACATATATGTATATGTTTCTTTTTCCAACTTACTCTCTAACTGGGACTGAATAACCTCAATTGGGGGATCATTTCACACAGTTATTTTCAGCATAGGATTGGACCATATATCTTTGCATGCTATTTTACATGTTTTTAATCACTTTTTTTTTTCCTTCTTTCAATCTGAAGTAAAGCAAGGATTTAGACGCTATTTCTCTGATAATCCCTTTCTTCATTTGGATGTAATTTTGTGCAGTTACTTGGGAGGACTATTGATTTAAGAAGCTTGGTTTGTGAAAGGATGAACAAGGTTTTCAGAGACAATCTTGAGTTTCTTTTTGATCGTTTCGAGTCTCAGGATCTATGTGCAGTGGTGGTAAGTAGATTGTTCTGATGGTTCTTATTATTAGTAACTCAACTATCATGTTATATCAGATCCATAAAAAATAAAGTTTGTTGGACGTATAGTATAGAAGTATACTAGCAGTCAGCCTGACTTCAGGATGCTTTCACATGGTTCCTCTTGTTTCATCATTCCTGTTGTATCTGTAGTTGGTGCGCCTTTTTATGCTAGGCCTGTGTGCTTGTTTTGTATTATGGACAAAATCTTGCACATTGGAGTGGTGCTAACTGTTCAGTTCTCACATATTAACAGGTATAAAGTTAGATGTGGATGTATGTATTTAGATGGTGGTATAGACCTACCAGATTGAGCTTTTAGGTTGAATTCTCTAATGATAACTACTCCATGAAATTTCTTTTTTCACGGTTCATAAAACAAATGATTTATTTTCTGATAGAAAAACAAATACCTTGATTTGGTTGCAGGAATTAGAAAAACTTGTGGAAATCTTAAAGAATACCCATGGGCTGCTTTCAAAAGACCTTTCAATAGACTCATTCAGTCTCATGTTGAATGAGATGCAAGAAAACTTATCTCTTGTGTCATTTTCTAGTCGACTTGCTACTCAGGTTTGGCAAAACTCTTTCTGGCTTTTTTTTTTTTATTTGTATGTCTCTTTGTAATGTTTATGCATGCAATAATTTTTCGATCATGATGTACAATCATAGCATTCTGGGAATTGTTGCACTCTCATCTCTATTTTGTATTTGTCTTAAAAAAATCATATTTTAGTGATGTCGATAAACTGCATGCAGTCTTTCAATTCCTAAGCATATACATTCAATAGACATAGATCAAAGAATTGATAGTCTGTTTATATAGAAGAGGGGGCATTTCGCATCATTAATCTTATTTTATAATGTGTAACCTCTCTTGTGTCTCTGACTAAGTGGAAGAATTAATTTAGAAATTATCATATCTGATGTAATTATTGTTCTTATCCATGTTTTGGCAATGAAAATACAACCCTCCATAATGTTTTAAGTTGGCGATAGTTAAGTTAAAGCTGGAAGAGCACGTCTCAAGCCAATTCATTAGCATTACCTTTATATCTAGTCATTGTTTATGCATTGTCTAAGGGAGACTTCTCATTTATGTTGTTGAGCTTGATAATTCCCTAGTCTTGTACCTAAAACAAAGCGTGTTGCATTATTTTCTTATAATTAAAATAAAAAATGTAACAAAAGTATGATATTTATTAAAGGAAAAATCACATCTCAAGCCAGTTCATGAGCATTTTTGGCCTGAGAGCGCTGTTCTGTATGCATTTTCTAAAGGAGACCTTGTGTGTGTTTTATTATTGGACCTTGGGGATTCTCTAGTCTTGTACCTTAAAAATGAAGCATGATGCACTTTTTCCTTATCATAACAGACAATTGGAAGAAAAAAGTACGATATTGGGAATTTCCTAAGAGTGGCATTTATTTTTATCTTTTGTTTTCCCATGGAGCTAGTTTCACTCAATCAATTCATTGGTGTGTGTTAGATTTGGTCAGAGATGCAAAACGATTTCTTGCCAAACTTCGTCCTATGCAACACTACTCAGCGTTTTGTCCGATCTTCAAGGGTTCCTCTTGTTCCTGTGCAAAAGCCATCAGTTCCCTATGCAAAGCCTAACTTCTATTGTGGCACTCAGGTAACGAACTAGAGTTTAGACTGTATCATGTGATTGGATATTACCAATATGATGTTATTTTTGTTTCTCATGTTACTTTATGACTTGCATTCTGATTTGATTATTACCATGGCAGGAGTTGAATTCTGCACATCAAAGCTTTGCACGTTTGCACAGTGGGTTCTTTGGAATTCCCCACATATTTTCTATTGTTAGACTTCTAGGATCCAGATCGTTGCCTTGGCTTATCCGAGCCCTGCTAGATCATGTATCAAATAAGGTGTGTGATGCTTTTGAGAATTTAGTCTATTTTTCATTTATTGACACCGAATTTCGTGAAAAGATGGATCTGGATACTATTTGAATGATTTCATTTGAAGCTGTGGACAAATGCACTATCTTTTTTGTTTCATTGAGATTGAGTCTAATTTTTCATTAATTATGCATTTCAGTTATCTACACTTGAACCGATGATTACTGGATTGCAAGAAGTGTTGCCAAAATCCATTGGACTGCTCCCTTTTGATGGAGGAGTCACAGGTACATGGTGGTGTCATGATTCTAAAAATGTCTTCCTTTTCTTCTTAAAATACTGCTAGAGGTGTTAAAAAAGGGTGAAAGAACTTGAATACTATAGGTCAACATGTGCACATGTACTTGCATGCACAGTTACAGAATATCGACATATATTTTATTAGGGATCAGTGAATTGAAGTTTATGAGTGTACGGTGTATTTTAGGAGGTATGGTCTATTTGGAGAACTCAAGGAAGAATCTCGTGCAAATTTACCACATCCAAGTTCCAGCAACCACCAACCTCTAGGATTTTATGCACTCAATTAGAGTCAGTGAGAGAAAAGCCAAGTTCCTAGGCGTGATGTATGTGGTGAGAGCTTCCTTGAACATGAGGTGCATAAAATCTGTTTTGAGTGATTTCTAAGTGCTGTAGCTATGAGGACTTGTCTCAAGTGTGATTAATTGTCTTCTATTTATCTGTGGATTTAATATTTGCATTGCGTATGGTATTTACTTACCAAGTGCCTGCCTGAATCAAATTTTTTTTTCTTTCCTCAAAAGAAAATTTGGAATCTACTGATGTCATGAATGCTTTAATATGCTGAATTTTATGCATGCATCTCTTGCCTTTTGTGCATGATTTAGGGTGGGTGTGTGGAAACATCTGTCCTCATTTCCTTGTTTTGCATGTTTAATTTCCAATCCAGGCTGTATGAGGGTTGTCAAAGGAAATCTTAACTGGGGATCAAAATCAGAGCTCAAAGCAGAGGTTCTTCGAGGGATAAAGGAGATTGGCAGTGTGTTATACTGGATGGGGCTTCTTGACATTGTATTGGTCAGTATCCTAGTTTCTTCGTTTCATGATAGTACTTCGAGAACATGTCTAGACGCACTTATGCATGCTCTAGACAGTAGCATTGGAGTTGGTAGACTCATTTGTATAGGGTTGCCATTCTATCCCTTAAAAAGCAGAATGCCAATTATACAAGTACTTTAAGAGCCTCGGAGCACTTTTAGGCCAACAGGGATTAGGGTAGCATGACATTGTGTCTCACTATGGAGAAATAGTTGTGTAGACTTACTTTACCAACTCATCATAGACAAGTCTAATAAGGACAAGACATATGGACAAAATCACACATCATAATATGGGGCCATTGAATTTTTTATCCATGTGTCTTGTCTTATTGGCATAATCTATAGGGGAGTTGGTAGACTAAGTCCATGCAACTGTTTTTCCTCATTATGAGCTTATATTTTGCATGTTCACATCATAATCGGATAAATGCTAGTTAGACAAAAACAGCAATCAAATATTGATGAATTTTGCATTTCTACCAATTAGTGGTGAGGCATTTGACATATTCACCTTAGTTCAGAGCTCTGGATGTGTGCTTGATCTGCTCTTCTTGAAAGTCATTGAGCCAACAACTTAGGGTCAGATGTACAAATCTCTTTTCACCATCTGTCTTCATAATTGGTCATACTTGTATATCTTGTTCTATTGTTGGGAATGACATCCTATTGGGTGTTAATAATTATCAACATATCTTGTTTTGTTGTTGTGAATGATGTGCAAGTGGATCCAAATATTATATCATGAAGCCAAATGCTTTTTTGTTGAACTTATGTAGTATCAACATTGATGTATGATTAGATTCTAGACCAATCTTATTGATGGAGTAAAATAATTATTGTTCATGCATTTAGTCATATGGAACATTATCTTATAATAATGCATTGCAGAGGCCTGGATTCTCTCTATTTTATATGGTTGAGTAAATGACTGTTAATGAAATATACAATGAGCATTAGAAAAAAAAAAAAATATATATATATATATATATATATATATATATAACAAATAAATCTAAACTAGGTTTTTCATTCACAATATTTTGCCTTGCCTGGCAGGCTAATGAACTTGATTATATATACCATGATATATTGTTTAGTATGCAAAACCTGAACATAGCTCATCTAGTTGACTTCTGTTATGATTGGAAACCAATGTTTCTTATTGCCTCTTATAGCTGTTTTACATGATTTACAGAGGGAAGTTGATACCATGCATTTCATGCAAACAGCCCCTTGGTTGGGCTTGTTTCCTGGTGCAGATGGCCAAATATTGCATTCACAGGATGGTGGGGACAGTCCTGTTGTCAATCTTTTCAAATCAGCCACTGCTGCAATAGTGTCTAACCCTGGTTGTCCAAATCCGACATCTTTTTATACCATGTCAAAACAGGCAGAAGCTGCAGGTGGATAATTCATTTCACTTCAGATGGTGAATTGCTGTTTGGTTGACCAACTTTATGCATGCAAAAACATATTCCAGTTCTTTGATAATTGATAGTATTATAATCTTACTTTTTTTGTGCAATAATAGTAGTTAATTACTCCACTTCGATTCCTGTTATTGTATTCAAGTCATGTTCCCTTGATTTCCTTAAATTTAAATGGTTCTGGTCTCTTCATTTTGGTGCAGATCTTCTTTACAAAGCTAACATGAATACTGGAAGTGTACTGGAATATGCACTTGCTTTTACCAGCGCAGCATTGGATAAATATTGCAATAAATGGAGTGCTGCCCCCAAGACAGGGTTCATTGACATAACAACATCGAAGGATTTTTACCGTATATACAGTGGCCTTCAAATTGTAAGGGATGACCTTCTACAGTATATTTTTATAATAACTTCGCACTTAGCTGCATCTGAACACTAATCATCTTCAGTTTGTCAAGGTATTAGGTCCTACACAAAAGAAAGAGAATCTATCTATTAGTTGATAATAACTTTTCTAGATAGCTGTCTATGTTAAATGTGCTGCGGATCCTACTTTCTCATTACTATGTGTTTCTGGGCCAAAAATCACATGTATGAACTATTTTATTTTATTGCTAAAATTAAAAACAGTTGATAGCCATCTTCAGAACCTGCAATGTGACAATCATATGACAAGCTTTTTACCAATCAGAATGTCTAGTCATGATATTTTTCATTATTGAAGAGTAAATAACTTATGTTTAATAGGATGTTCATTTTAGGCTATGTTTAAATTTTTTGTCGAATATTGTGAGTTATAATTCTTTCAGAATAACCTTTCCAATTCATCATTTAAATCTTGATTTGACAACCATGCTAATGAGGTACTAATTCCCTGCCATGTGGAATCTCCTGATGAGCAGCCACACTGGTGTTGTGGGGGGCTGCAACCCAGCTCAAGGTTAAGAACTACATGTACCTTGGTACTCAACCAACCCTGTCGGATTAAGAGAGAACTATTGGGTTGAACATTCTCCTTTCCAGTACAAGCTGTATATTTGCAAACTTGATTTCTGGAGTTAACTACAGTTGTGATTTAATAACTGTTAGTTGGGCTGGTGGACCGATGGTTCAATTGAGAAATTTGATAGTATATCGTGATCAAAATGTACGAGTCTTGCATTAAATTATTATGATTACTACACTAGAAGGATGATGAGCCTTTAGTTTTACCTCTGATTTAGCCACAGAAGTATGTTAATTTCAATATGTAATTGAGGATATCTTTTCTCTCTAATAATCCATTTTAATACTTGAATTGTAGGGACACCTGGAGGATTCTGTTCAAGTATCATCAAATAATTTTGAAGTGTCGGGTGATTCAGTTGCTTGGGGTGGTTGTACCATAATCTACTTGCTTGGGCAGCAGATGCATTTTGAACTCTTTGATTTTTCATATCAAGTCCTCAATGTTGCAGAAGTGGAGGCTGGATTACTCACCCAAGGGCATAAGAATCCTCATGTTGCACAGGTATTGAAATTTACTTTTATACTTGAAGAAATTTTTTTGCACTCATTAGTATGCCTGTGTATAGAAAATCATTGTTTTATATCATAATATCATTTTCTGCTGCCGGGACTTGAACTTGGATTCCTCATTTGATGGAATTGCAAGTCATGCTATAACTGATTCTGTGTATAAAAATCGTTCATTTTTCTTTTCTTTTCTTTTCTTTCTGCTCATAATCGTCATCGGGTATGATTTTACTCCTTTTGTAGGATTTATATAAGTGATTGTAGATCACTATGTTCTACTATTTATTTTGTTGTACTCTAGGTCGTTATGGTGCAATTATCAAAAGACTTGGACATTTCTGAAGGATGCCAATTTCTTCTCTCTGCTTTTCATTTACGTGGCTCAGAATCTAGGTTGCAATTCATGTTTTAGGGATGGGATATGCCCAGCTAGTCTGACCATCAAACTGTTGACCCATGCCCTTTCGTGGTTTGAATTTGTTACCCATTCAATTGTTCGGACCTCTACATGATTTCCCTGATTACTAGCATAGCGTTCTCACCTGGACAATGTTAGTCATAGTGATGTGAAAATCGAATAAATCATAATTCTCAATCGCATTGAGTGGACTGAGATCCTGAATCAAAACTAAGCTCTATATGAGGAAAATTTATAATATAGTACAGAAAATATGATGGTTTATCATCTACATCCATAGAAATAGAATATACAATGACTATGATTTCTTTACTCCAAAGGAAGAATTGAAACTTGGAAAATCGATTTCTGGTTTTGATTGTATTTAAAACCAAGTACAATGAAAACAGGGGTAATTCACTTGCTTCTAGCCTATTAGCTTTTTCCATCTTTCGGTTTATTAATCTGGCTGCCCTTTTTATTTGCAAGGGATGGGAAACCCTATTAGAAGCAATGAAGAAAGCAAGAAGATTGAACAATCATGTTTTCTCGATGCTAAAAGCCCGTTGCCCCCTTGAAGACAAGATTGCTTGTGCTATCAAGCAAAGTGGCGCCCCGCTGCATCGGATTAAGTTCGAGAACACTGTTTCTGCTTTTGAAACACTGCCTCAAAAAGGTGCTTGAATGAGTCCTACAGTCCCCTTCCACTTCTGATGCTTTGTCTCGTCTTGTAATATCTATGCATATAGGGTCATCAAGTTGTAGTTTTATTATCGATATAATGATTATCAAATTGCAGTTGGTAATGTGTTCCCTGACCAAAATTCTGAGAGATTGAAATCAAATTGGATTTATATTCTCCACAAACATACGAGGGGCTTTACCACCCTTATTGTGTTTTTTAAATGGACTTCAGTCTGAAAGAAAATTAGTGTTGACATTTCATTCTTGAGGTTTATTGCTTCCTGTTCTGATTGAAATTGACCGTTTTATTTAAACAATTTTGCGCCCATAATTAATGATAACTATTTTTTTTTTTTTTTTGGTTCTTGAAACACAAAAGTCTGACAAGATAGGGTCGAAGTACAGGAGAAGCCTTAATTAATACTACAACTACAGCTGTTTTCCACCCAGACAAAGAAAATCTTACAAAAGAAACGAATAAATTGGCAATCAATAAAAAAAAAATCAATGATGTAATTATTTTTCTGAATGTAAAATATATTATGTTCTAACAACTACGTTACTTTGATCTAGGGATGGCAATTCAGCAGGTCCTGGTGCTGCGCCGTCTCGTCCTGCTTTGTTTGAGGCGAGGATGGGTTTTTTTTTCAGGGGACGGGACGGGGCAAACCACCCCCCCAATTGCCATCCCTACTTTGATTCCATTGAAAAGAAAATTTTAAAGAGAAATAAATAATGTGAAAATGCATTTGCACGCAAAGGATGTTTACATAGTTCAGCTTTGTCTTATTTCTGTATTTCCTGTGTATGCTTGTAGCAATGAAACTTGGTTTCTTAAAAGTCAGAGTAGAAAAGTTGGGTGCCATCATAAAAATAATCTCTCACTTTTTTTCTTTTTCTTTTTCTTTTTATTACATATAACTTTGCTGCGAATAAATCTATATGATATATTTCAATCTTTTAAATAATTTTTTTAAAAAAATTATAGGTATAAAATAAAAATTAATTAACAAGAATTGTGGGAATTTGTTCAATTTAACACATATTAGGTAATATTTAATAAGATGCTTATATTCTATAATTGAGTTTAAAAATATCCTATAAATATATTTGATTTTCATCAATAAAAAAATAAAAACAAGAAGAAGAAAACATGCAAATAATTGTATCCTATGAATATGTTTAATTTAACATGTATTCTGTAATATTTAAAGCATCAAAATATTTAATTTTAGTTAATGAATCTAAAAAAAAAAACCATTAACTAATGAAAAAAATATATATTTTGAGCAAATAATAAGTAATAAAAAAATAAAAGCATAAAAAAGAAAAATGAGATTGGGGCGTGCACCAGACCCTTTCTAATGGACCGAGAGACAACTAAGTCTGTGCGCCTGCGCTGGAAGAACAATCCAACCATATATATATATATATATATATATATAATAAAAATATATAAAGACCTTGTTGTAATATAAATTAAGGTTAGGAACTGTTTTGTATGAAATTAAATCTACAAGGACCAAACTGTTAAAAAATTGTACAAAATGTCCAAAAAATCATTTATTATTATTATTATTTTGTAAAACTAGACTTAAAACAACACTATTTTGTCTATTTCTATTGTAATAGTAGTTTAAAAACCATAAAACATCATTTAATTTCGTTTAATTTTATATATATATAATTAGTGGTTCGTTATTAGTGTTAGAAGAATGGAGAGTCAGGCTTAATACTCACTAATAGGAGATTAATCTGATCACCACATTGAGGATGAAAGGCTAAGTTTGACCTTTTCTTACCTAGGGTGTAAACAATTTCATTGTTCTTAACAAAACTAGAAATCCAACGATATTCACACAAGTTTCCCAAAGCATTTATATTTTTCTTTTCGCAAAGCCGAGAGAGCACACCATCCAGTGGAAAATGCATTCATTTTCTTTTTCTTTTTTGGCTTAGATAATGCAACTCCTCTCCCAACACAGAGCTTCAACTCAAGTTCCTTCCTGTGTGTAGATTGAACGAAGTCTGGACGAGAGGAGAAAACTGGTTCGATAAGGCCAGGAGGGAACTCGCGGCTTTGATTTACATCATAAGTAATAAATGACATTCAATAAAAAACGAGAAACTTAATATAGCGCCTTAACGAGCAGTCAAAGGGATTATAAGATCCATCCAACCACATTTGTTGCCGACTCAAAAGGTAATCTCAACATGTTATTCAATTCCCCTGGTAATCCATCAAAATATGTGATCTGGTAATTTTTTAAAAAAAAAAAAACTATCTTGATTGGGTTAAAATCAAGATTCAATTCCTATTATTCATAGATAATATCTTATTAATATTAAATTTGTATTGATTTAATCTAAAATACAGTCCACGTATTAATCAAAGGCTTAACCCTAAAAGTGATAGATAAAAATTAATCCTAAAATACTCTATTATTGGAGAATATCTAAAAAGAATAATTGAGTATAATAAAAAATGTTTGCGTGTTTCTGAAAACACTTTATCATCATCATCATGACAAGATAATGATGGTTTAGGGTATAATTTAAATAAAGACTTGCAATACAAATTTTGTTGGTTTTATATTAAATAATGGAATGATTGGCTTATCTGATGACAGGACAGATAAAAATCACGTTGACTCTGGATTGATAAAATAGTTAGTTAATGGGACAATAAACTCTTGTCTCCTGAAAGTCTAAATGACAATTCTAATTCTAATAAACACCTCAGCTTGAATTCCCAAATCTTTCCACACCTAATTTATTTCATTTTTTGTCAACAAAAAGATAATGTTGAAAATGATTAATCAAAATAATAAATAATTCTTTCTTTTTTTTTACATAAAATGAATATATAAAATTATAAATAACATAAGATATATTCAACAGGGAATATTGTGTCGTTCATACCTGCATATACACATACGTAAGAATCGCCATTTAAAAATGGAATTAAAATATTATGAAAGGAATGTCATCCGTAAAAACTATTAAGATAAATTTAAAAATGAGTAACATTTGGGAGAAAATAAATAGTATGGCTACATGAAGAATAGGAAAAAAAAAATTAAGAAAAATCTTACCAATACAAACAGATTTTAATATAAAATAATTTATATCTGCTACTAGATATTTTACATATAACTTCTTCTTTCTTTTCTTTTTCTTTTTTTTTTAAAAAAAGAGATTAGATGTTTATTAATCCATTGCTGACAAGAATACTGTGGAAAACTTATGCATCATTCATATAAATTTTGGATCCAATCATTATTAGGTTTGAGTGGTTTCCCTCTTGAAAATTTTGAATCAAAAACTAAAACTCAAATTTTTTTATTCAATATGATTTTTAAAAAGTTTTTTTTAAAAATAAATAGTGATAGAAAGGATTTTAATCCAAACATCTAATAATAGTTCATGCACTAAAATCAAAATTGAAAAAAAAAAAACTATAGAGAATGTAAACCAAAATGTTTGATAGTTGATTGATTATCTATATGCTTTGACCCAAAATGGGTTTGGTGGTGGCAGCACAAGGTGGTCTAGGGTGGGCGCACGTACTCATAATTCTCTTCTTTCTTCAAGAGGTAATGATTAGCGTAGGAAACAACTCACCCGGCCCATTTATTCTTCTTCCTTTCTTTAACAAACCTTTGTTTTTATCTTAAAAAAAATTACCCTTTTCTTTTTGGGTATTAGTACAAAACTTTATTCTTTGTTCACAAGGTACCAGTAGAACAGTACCCATGAGGTGGAGTAGGTCAATGCATAACTTTATGCTCTCAAATTTTCTTCTTTCTTAGTAATTTTATGGTACAAAATTTTTCTAGGAATGTTATAGGCAGAGGACATAACTCACTCTACCCTCACACTCTATTTACTCTTATGAAGAATCATCGTCTTTAGTTCGTTTTAGGTGGCATGTGGATTTATAATTTCTACAATATCAAATCGGGTTTGAATATAATAGTATTGCATTAAAAATATAATTTTCTTCATAAGTGCTAATCCTTATATACATGACGCATCTAAAATCCATATACATATATATATATGTTGTTAAGAAAAACTTAAAATTAGAAAAATTAAGGAGTTATTTGGTATCATTTATCAGTTTCAATCTCAAATTTTCTATTTATGTTTTGAAAAACACACCATGTTCTTTATTTTATTTGTAGATAAATTATACTAAGCACCATATGGTATAGTGTTTAAACTAGATTTTTTCTCGCGCTATGTCTGCGAGTTTGATAAAATATATAAAATCATTTAAAAAAATTATTTTAGTTTGATAGTTTGTTTTATGGTTTGAATCTATAAAAATATATGAAATCAAAGATCAAAAAAATATTTTAAATATTTTAATGTAATTTTAAATTAAATGGATGAGAATTTTTAAAAAATGACAAATTCAAAGTAGTAAATTTTAAATAATAAAAAAAATAAAGAAAAACACTAAAAACAAAATGGTACCAAATCACAACACAATTAAAGTTTGAAATTAAAAAAATATATTGTATAGTTAAAATCTACAACTTTGAATTTGTTATTTTTTTTCGAATTCTCATCCAATTAATTTAAAATTACATTTAAGGATAGTTTTGGTTTATTTTAATATTATCACTTTTGGTTTATTTTATTATTAAATAATTTATTAATTTAAAATTTATGAAAAAACGAATATATATATATATAAAGGAAGGGGGAAAAAAAAGGGTAGGGGTCTATTTGGCTTGTGCAAGTAGGTTGCACTTCAAAAAAAAAAAAAAAAAACCCTAAAATTTTTTACGAACTTGATTTCGTTAGAATCGTCGTCGAAAAATTAAGAGTCAAGTTTCGGACTCCTACGATTTGAATCTTGACATTATTTTTTCCCCTAAATACCTTTAAATGATCAAAATAAAGTAAATAAACACATTTAAAACTTTAAAAATCATTTTAATATACATCAAAACAAAGAAAAATACACAATCAAATTGAAATTTTTTTCC